TGCTTCGGATGGGCAAGGAAAATGAAGATGGCGGCAATCGTGACGGCGCCGATGGGAAGGTTGATGTAGAAACACCATCGCCAGGAGACCTTATCCGTAAAAGCACCACCCATCAATGGTCCGGCTACAGAGGCAATACCGTACATACTGCTCAATACGCCATTGTCTATTTCAAATGCGATTAGAGTGGTTGACAAAAAACAGAAAACACTAGGGAAGAGGGTAAATACGTACACATGGGACGTTTTTCCAATGCGACAGAGTAAGTGATGATAATCATAGCACCACTGAAAATGCCCGCTGAGCCAATTCCAGCAATGGCGCGGCCGACGATCAAGGCTTCCGAGTTAGGTGCAGCACCACAGACGACCGAACCGATCTCGAATATCAGAATTGCAGTCAAAAACACCCATTTGACTGGGTAGAAGGAGTAGAACTTCCCGAACATCAATTGAAAGGCGCAGGTTGTTAGTAAGTACGAGCTCCCGTACCAACCAACATCATCTAGAGCTTTAAAATGGTCCGTGATCTTGGGAATGGCGGTGGCGATAATCGTGTTGTCCTGGTACGGTGCACGAATTTTGTCAGTGGACTCAATAATACATCCCAAGTTGAATCCGAAGATGCGATTCTGGAAGGTTGGATTGAGAGAATATTTCGCGTACCAGTGCAACAAGGAGAACAGCAAGACACAAGCCGACGACAACAATTATGAGAGGAAACCCCGAGAGATAATTTGTCTCATTGCTGTTGTCATCTTTTGCGTTGCCATCTTTTGCGTTGTCGGTTGACACTTCTAATCCATCTGCTCCCTCTGGTATTCCGGAGAGCGTCTTCTCGTCTGCACCTGCTGTTGCCTGTGGCGTGGGAGCTTCATCGTGTGTGGATGCATTGTCTTTCTCCGGCTCGATAACAGAATCGGGATGGCTTGGTACTGCTGTGGAAGCAGAAGAAACTGGACCTACTTCCCCCGTCGCTTTAGCATCAGAGCTGCGGGAGAAAAGGGAGTTCAAAGATTTCATAGTTTAGATATTCGAATGGGGATGCAGTAGTTCCCGCTGACCGCGGCTTTCTTCACGCTAAGTAGGATGTTAATGTAAAGGGCTGAGAAGAATAGCGTGGGGATCGAGGGTCTTCTACGACAAACATCGTTCGGAAGGGACAGCAAAAAAAAGGAATACGAGAAAGCGGGAGAGACGCAGATGGGCGTGGGATCAGATTAAATATCTCTCGCAAAATTCTTGCATAAAATATCGAGCACGAAATGATCATGAACAAACAAAGGAGAGGAGAACAGAAAAAAACCTTTTCAAGCTGGTCCCCGTCCAGCTAGTTCAGGACAAGTCCACGAACTCGGGAGGCCAAAGATTGGCTAAGATGAGAACAATTCGGCGTACGGGTAGATTTTTTTCCCGTTGAAAGCAGTGTGGGCATAGTTAACTAATCCTTGGTTTTCAGGGTCAGGCAGGCAGCATACGCAGTATAATTGTATTTTTGATGTTGTTGCAGAATCTCCATCTGTTTGGTTTGAACCTGACAGATTCCGGACTTTTTTGAGCTCTTTCCAGCAGCCACAGCTGCGAATAGCCAATAATATGCCCAATGCCGCCCGCTGCGCCTTCACCGTCATTTCATTTACCCTAAAGTGGTTAGTTAGTTAGCATTTCCAGCCCAAACGCTGGAAAACTCATGGCTGTCTCTGAAGTTTATGGCCCGAAACGTCCCGTTCCATTATTATTATTATTATTGCCCACACGGAAGTTGTTTAGTTACATGAGATGTCGGGGAATCGGTCCTTGGGCGTTCCAGTGTGTGCAAAATTACCGTGCTCATCTTTGCAGTCGTGATCAGAAACGGAGACGGCAGAAGGCTTATGTGCCCCGGCCGAACCTAGTACGGAGTAGTTGAGATTGACATAGTTGTTCTCTGGGTTTGTCCTTGGGTCGCATCAAAGATTTCTGGACAATATAATTGGTGATTCCTTCACTGGCGACTCAATTAACATCTCGTATTCCGCGTGTCGAGCTGTGGCTTGAAGTCTGGAAGCGAGAACGTGGTTCAGGCCCGAAATTACGTCTTAGCGCCCTCCTTTAGTCACGTTTTGATTCGATCATACGGAGTACTCCGTACATAGCTAAACGAATACCTACTCAAGGCGTTCCAGGGTTTGCTATGCAATTGGGACGTTGCACAACGACGACAGGCCGTCATCAGTCTCGTCAAAAAGGGCCCTTGGAACGCAGCCGCGGAGTTTCAGCAATCCGCCTGACTGACTCTGGCAAGACTAGTTATACGGGTTCTGCTGTAGTAGTAGTAGTAGGAGGAGTATAAGAAGTATATAGTATGGAGTATAAGAGTAGTATACTCCGTATAGGTTAGGTATATAGGAGACATTCTGCTGAGGTTGAGATAGGATTTCGCACTTTCCCTTGTTGGCGGTGGGAATTCCTGGGGCTTAGTAATCCCGGGGACTTGAGCCTCCGAGCCTCCGCGCTGCCGGATCAAACAAACATCGTCAACCCGATGCGATGCTCAGCGGGTTGGAAAGGGAATAGTTATACGCTGTACATTATCCGTACATCTATCTTATCTATCTTATTATTATTATAATTCTTGACTAACTCTTGGTCTGGCTGACCAGGCCGCCGAGAATAGCTTTGCATCCGCTTCCGAGTCATCATTCCTCCCTCCCCTCCTCAGGAGGGCGATCCATAGGACTTCTTGCCGCCCCATGCCCCTCGTAAGAACCTTATATAGTTCCCGCTCTCGTGCTTCGGAATGACCAGGAGGGCAAGGGGAATTGTGCAGCCCTCCTTATCCTTCCTGGATGCTATCGAAGGGCGGGGTTCTATGTCATCTCCTAAACAATCAGCGCGTTCCTTGACAGGATCAGATTTGGAAAGATATGATATGATGCTCACAACTCTCCTTCACATGCAACACTCTCATGACTTATCTCCACACTCCACACAGCGCCCCGGAATATCCTAGCCTCGTCCGTCCACCTCTCTACTCCGTACTGGGTACTCCGAACTGCCTCTTGAGTTGCCAGAACCTTTATCAATCAGTGCCGCCTCCAAGTTGTTGTGAGAGCAAAGCCTCTCGGACATTCGCTGCGGGAGGTGTGTCATAGCATAGGAGAGAGATACTACCGCCCCTCCTCTGTAGCCTTAGACCTATCGGAGAAGATTGTCTCACTTTTCCGTAAAATAAAACCAGACCAAATCATAACACTGCTGCCTCCGTATGTAACAGCTGGCTAACGTGGCATATAGTTTTTCCTATTCAACGTATATTCTCTTGTTAAACGGTTGATTATTAATATCTTCAAATTCCCCAATAGCAATCCCATGCGCAGTACAGTACTGACTCAAGAAAGGTTGTACTTCGCGTAGCACTGTTAATCCAATATGTAGCCCCACCAAAATGGAATGGGATGGAATGGAATTCACTGGCTAATATTGTGTCCCTGACGGCGCATATATTAATTATTATTGAAAACTGAGTGCAGATATTTTGGATTCCTTATGTGAAAATGTACCAGCCGAATAATGCCAGACCATAGCAGCAAAAATACATCGAACCATTTGATCTCCAGAATCGATCTACAGATATTTCCGCACCAAGATGGATACCTGAACCCACTCAGCCAAAGGAACGAGCACCCACCTAAACCCCACACGCCCAAGAATTAATCCGAAAATATAAAGAGAAAACAAGCCCGAACCCGGGTCACGAAACAGCAGACCTCAAAACCCTCGCCGCCAACTCACTTAATAGCCTCGCCTTATCCTCACCAGGCAACGCCTGGAAAACCTCATAAACACTCTTCCCCCTCGCATCCCTCACCGCCCCCAGTCGATTACCCGCAACAGCACCCGCCACCGCACCCGTGAAATTCGCAACAATAAACCCCAACGCCGCCCCGCTCAATCCACCCACAATCGCCCAGAACCGACCCGTCGGCCTCGTCCCGCCATGCACAGCGTCGTCTTCCGACAACCCTTCCTCGCGCAGCATTTCCTCGAATATAGAGCCGAATTGGTCCGAGGCGAAGGAATCGGACCCTGTTTCCGGGCCCGATGAGAAAGCGGGTGGTGAAGGGGTGCGGGGTTTCCTCTGTTGTTGTTGGCGGCTGCGCCCGTTGTCATATTGGCGTCGGCGGGTGGGGTCGGAGAGGACGTAGTAGGCTTCGTTTACCTTTTTGAAGGTCTCTTCGCGCGCAGGACGTTCGGGGGAGGTGGTGGGGACGCGGTCTGGGTGGGATTTTAGTGCGGCGCTGAAGGATGATGATTTGGTTTTGTTGGTTAGTAGAGGTCGTTTGATTATCGGGAAGGTGAATTTTCGGAGGGAAGGATTGTTCTTTGCTGACCGTTTATATGCGAAGCGGATCTGGTGCTCCGTGGCTGATGGGTCTATTTCGAGGATCTTATCTTCAACAACAAGGGTTTGGTAAGTAACAAGTACACACGGTGAGACCTGTAGAGGAGGCTTCGACATAATTAAATAAAACCAAACATACAATAATCTACACCGGTGTCTATTTTATATCTCCCATTAGCCTCTAGATTGTACAGAGTAAACAGCTGAGCTAGATATGTTCTTACCGCCCATGATTTTCTGTTCATGCGGCGCTCGATGTCTTTCGATGACAGGTAAAACAGCTTCAAATGAACGAGAATGGAAAATACAAGCGATAAGAGTGCATATATGTAGATGTAGAATAGATGGATCCTGCAATGTCAAGTCGCATGGAACTTTTAGTAGATATGGCCCCCCACCTACAGTTAGTTGTTTATAGTTTATAGTCAGGTTTAAAACGTCAAAATGATGACATGGGATGCGCAAAAGAATAGTTGCAGATTATGTAATGAGCATGTTAAACTAAACATTGACTTAACTAACTACGCTGTAACAGTGTGGTTTAACTTTCAATGTTAGTTAAAGTTAACTAACGACCCAGATACAGATTATTTAAGGCACTAAAGTTCATGACATGACTTTGCATCAAATGGTGTGAAAACATTGTATGAACAGATCAACTGCAGTGGTAGTGGAGTGGATCATATCAACTTGCCCTAAACACTTCTGTGCTTGTCGAACTTGATTTCTGCGTAGTTCTCCAGAAACTCATCGGGGATCTTGGTTTATGAGGAGCTGTCTGCGGTCTGGCATTTATGTCCGTAGTGTCTTCGAGGATGATAAACTGGGCGTCGTATAGGCCCCAAGGAGCCCAGCGAGGAACAGATGAAAAGAGGAAACAAACCGAAAAGAATATCGGCCACAAAGGGAAGTTTGAGTCCAAACAACAATGGTATAGGATAACTTAAGTCCTTGCGTGCGAATTAAAACGGGGGCTTAGTGCAGAATTGCGGAAAATGAAAGAAGTTAATTCATGTTCGAGTTTGGAAACGAGGAGATGTTTTAAAAAAAAAGGCAATAGTCACCGCCGCCTTTCCCTCCATCTCCTGAAGATATTCAATGACTTGTCTTCGCTTTTCCATTTCTCCTCTGAGCTGCTGTCTTCATGTATCTCTTTAGGAGCCGACAGCGCTGAACTCCGTGCTGTTAACTGGGTTTCAACTGAACCACCTGTAGAAGAGCTAAGCATCCCTTAGCTGCTGCTACTGCTCTTTCTAGCACATGCTGTCTCTTTGCCTTCCTCACCACGCTCGACAGCTTTTCCATCTTTCTTCAGCCTAGCAATGACAAATGCCCAAATACCACCGCTCCATTCTCCTCAAGCTTTGCCAAATTAACCGAGTTTGAGCCACTCGGTCTAATGTTCGTGCACAATTTCTTCGACCCAAGGAACTGTACCGGGACAAAATGTCAGTTCCCATCTGCTACCTTGCTCCTCAGGCACTCACATGGCTTGAATGGTTGACATGACGTGGCCCATGTGATCTTGCTTGGGATCTCGCCGACGCCCAAGCCTGGTTCGATCCTCTGTAGCTGTTTTTCGTACAACATCTTGAGGGTGGAACAGAAGTGGCCACATAGTCCATGCCCGCGGGGATAGACTTCCAACGACTGCAGACAGTGTCGGGGTTGTCGGGCCGAATAAGGTCGCCGAAGCCGTTGCCAACAATTGTGGTAACCCCAATAGAAGGTATCAAATCCTCCCACCCATGACCCCACGAGTGTAGATGCTTGATGTGAGTGTGGATGGTGCCGAGCGGCGTAATGACATCTAGGATATCGAATCCAACCCTACCTTTACGGCCAAGATCTAGAGACTGGGGGATCTTTAATGCCATCCTCTGAAGCCACTTTCACCTGCCTATCAACTAGGATCTCCATTGTGTGTAGTATCTTCTTCACTCGCTCCTCAAGGGTCGAGTATTTTATCACCTGTTTCCAGTCATGTTTAGGGTAAGGTTATCCCAACTTTTCAGTGTCTTCAGTCCTGCAAGACGTGCCGTACAACCATCCCAGGTGTCTGCGAGCTGATGATTGCAAGTAAGAGAATATGGCCTTGATAATTCTGAGGGAGAAAGTCTTTGAGTGCAGAAGTAGTATTGCTGCCTGAGAGCCGCATCTCTGTATCATCTGCATTGTCAAAAATAAGAAGTCACTTCCCAGCATTAGTTTGACTGAGATTTTTATTGACTTGCTTCTTTGCCTCTGCTGACTCTACATCTCGGGTCCCCAGTGCCTCTGCAATGGTCATGTATGCTTGCTCGACACTCTCAAGACTAGTGCATAGAATCCAGAAAATGGAGCACCTGGAATCTTCATCGCGCATGCGGTATGTCAACTCCAGGGCAAATTGAGTCTTTCTAAGTTCGCAAATAGCAATCTTTCTTGGTCCATACCGAGAGATATAATTTTCCATTTTGTTGATTTCATGCTGATGACCAACAAATCCTGGATTTCTTTCAAATGGGGCCATCCAGTAAAGTTCTCTCCCTACAGAAAACCATTATTAGCATGGTTATATAGTTTGACTATGATTATCTTACTAACCTTCTGTAGGCATAGGTTTCCAATACTCTAAGAAAGTTTTGGCAGCTGAAGCACCACTTGCTGCAGCATAGGCTCGCCAGGTTTTGTTTTTATGGCTATCGGCATAGTCACACACCCCCTTGATCATGATGCATGGAACATTATCCCACACTCCTCCTGCTCCCTCCATGTCAAACCCAATGACCCCTTCTTCGCTGATAATTTTGTCGCGGCGCTCTCCAGATTTCATCACTGTGTAGATAGATGCCATTTTCCCAGTATTGCACTGATGCTTTGACTGCTTCAGCACCGTCTCGGCGACGCCTATCTCGGATTTCATTGCAACCAAGACTACTGCAGTTTTCCTCCAGTGCATCTTCACAGATATCATCTGGTGAGCTGCCATGAAAGCAACAGCAGCTAACCGAATCATCCTCACTGTAATGCTTGTGGTGATAAGAGGATTCAAAAAGAACGTCATCGAATTCGGGATGCTGCCACAGTGGCCCTAATAGCTGAATAAGACGAAGATTCTGGGACATCTGCTCTTGAAATTCAATGCGTGTTCGTCTCGCCTTAAGACTTGTGAAGAAGAGGGTTCGAATTCCTTCGACTTCAGGTTTCCGATGGAAACTGAGTATCGCCTGCCAAAATCATATTCAACCACGGCATCGATGATGACATCACCAGGAAATATTCGCGTATCGTCAAATGGGTATGGAGCTCCCCCACAAGGTTGTCTCCTGGGGTCATGCTGGACCATTCTTGGTAGCTTTGTCACTTGAATTTAGATATTGAGGCCAACTGTTAATCACAAGAAGAAGCAGATTTATGGATTTAACATGATCATGCCCGGGTCAGTTTAATGAGCACGAAGATGAAGATTGAGGGGTAATCAACCTTGTTTAACCTGCAAGGTTGTTACTCTTTTGTGAATGTAGTTAGCCAATGATAGGTAATTTAGGGCCAACTTTACTCATATGATGAAAATTTCGAGATGTTTTGGGTGTCAAGCTGATTTTGCAAGCCACTATACGGAGTATCTTAGGCTTGTGGCCAGCACAGAACACCGCGGGCGACGTCTTCTGCTCCCAAACCTGTCGCCTGGCGATTGAGCTGGAGAGGCGCAATTACTCCTCCCTCGATCCCAGTGTAGCCTGGCTCCCCCACACGCTTGGAACGTGCCCTCCATGCAGAGCATCCCATTACAACAGAGCTCGTTCTCCGCCACAACACAATCCGAGCTGAGAGATGATACAAGCTCTTTTGACCACATTCGAGAAAGGAAAAGACGAATCATCAATGGATCTCCGAAATCAGCTTGTGTGACAAAAGTTATCTCCTTGGGATCCTTATCCTCGGTACAGAATCACCAGATCCCAGAATGTTCATAATTCTTGCATTTCTAGAAATAGTTCTTCTCCGTGCGCCCTCATTCACGACAAAGAGACACAGATGGATATATATAACCCACATTGCAATTGTCCAGGCTGGAGCATGATGTAACTGTTGTAGAGGGACAGGAAGACCTTGACTGGACAGTATCAACACGTGACACAGCTAAGCGCGGGTTCCGCGGAAGTTTAAAAGCTAAACTAAATAAGGTTAGAATGTGATCCAGCCTTCCCCAGCCACTTCTATTGGAACCGTTCAAACGCTCCCCTGATGTACAGACCTCCTGTGTATAGACAAGACAGCGGGAGGAAAGACATCAAAGCATAAACACTTCAATGCCGTTGTCCCGCAATCTCGTCTTCCGATTGTTGCCATGATGAGATAGAGCAGTAACATCCCGCCCTTTGAATGTGTCCTCAGTCCCTAATCATCCAAGTCTAGCGGGCCTCTGCTCACTTTCTGTATCTATACATATCCGGATATACCTCATGTTTCCCCTCTGCATAAGAGCCAACGCCCACACCTAGCCTAACCAATTAACCTGCCCGAATCCAATTGCACCACGCAGCTACCAATTACCTGCATAACAAACATAAAGCGGTAAGCAGCCCTATCGCGCCCTCAATGGACTGGCTCTACCCCTTCAGCGACCTGAGCCGTCGCCGCAGCACCAGCAGCACCAGCAGCCGCCGACGCTCACGCAGTCGAGACCGCTACTCAACAATATCCTCCCGCCACAGTGGCAGTCATAGTCGCAGCAAAAGCCACAGCAGCCCGTCCCTCTTCAATCTGGGCGGGCACGCCAACCGCTCCACCGCCTCCGCCGCCTCTATCTTCTCGGTCGGCAGCGCCGCCTCCTCCTCATCGCGCCGCGCAAAGCCGCGGTCGGGCTTCATAGCCCGTACCGTGCGCAAGATCAGACGCCTGTTCCGGCACATCTTACGCTATGCGCGCAGCCATCCGCTGAAGGTGTTTTTCATGGTTGTCATGCCGCTGATTACGGGCGGCGTGCTGCAGAAGTTGCTCTCCGTGGTGGGCGTTCGGTTGCCGCCGTTATTGGGTGGAGGGCATGGTGCTGGGTTTAGGGGGGGTAATGGCGGTGTTGGTGGGGGTGGCCTGGGCGGGATGCTTGGGGGAGGCGGCGGGGGATTGGGGGGGAGTGTTGGTGGACTGATGTCGTTGGCGAAGATGTTTGTGTGAAGCGGACTCGAAGAGGGTGGAGCGGGGAGTGACTGAAAGCGAAGGGGCTGTTGGATATCGGAGCCAATAATGGAAGGGAGAATTAATATTATGGGGCAGCGGGGCCCTGTATAGCGCACGAACGGGACTGGATGAGGTTTGGAATGATCTATCGTTATTTTCGCGGAGCTTCACCGCCATCAGCACTTGTGTGGAAGCCAGTCCGCACATACAACATGTCTACCTTTTTTTTTTTTTTTTTGGGTTGGCTTTTTGTATTTTGGATCCTATGTTGTTTCTTCTTCTTCACGGTGGAATTTTTCTGAAACGAATTCATGAAACGCCAAAACATTAACGAATCAGGAGGAGGATGTATATCTGCATGTGTCCCAACGAATGGGGGATAGAACGAACACCTTAACCAAGATTCCACCATGACGACCCATATATGATAGATACCAGAAACTGAGTTTTCCGAGCTTGTTCATTTTTGTTTCCTATTTTTCCTGTATTTTCCTGTATTTTCATGGTTCACATATTTCCTTATCAGATCGTTTCTGTACGATGCGTTCTCTATTCCGGAGCGCTAGAAAATCCCTTGGCAAGAAGACCAGCTCCTGCCTGTTCTTCCGCGTTAGAAAGTTTCATTCCATGCATGACATCCTTTACATGCATTTCTTGAAAATTAAAATCTAAGCTACTGTATCTATTCATACAAAGCCGCTTTAATCTGCCTAACTCGTAGACTAAACTATGGCTTGCTTCAAGACTATGACACAAATGTAGTTACAGGTAGCTGGAGTAGAAAAATGCGTTCCGTACGTATTTACATCTAGTAATAATAGCTGGTGCAGGTTTACCCGTAACTTGCACCCGGGACCTGTAACTCTCCTGCTCGCAGCCGCTTGACTCTCACCAAAGTGAGTCTATTCGGAAAGTATATTGCATAAATGCATTCAGGCCTATCTAAGTACATATGTGAATAAGCAGTGAATGGTTCTTGCATTGGGGGGAGGGGGTGGGCTTGCTAATAGAGAACGACAGGCCGAGGAATAAAATTGATGGCTGGTCTAATGAGATGCCAAAGTGTAAGAAATGAAATATGGGATGTACTTAATAGTATATTTTAGATAGTACAGTACAAGAATGGAGTCGGTAGATTAACAGCAGGAGTAAATTATAATACAGCTCAGTCGATTGCCGTAAATCCATCGAAATAAGATTGAAATCAAAATCAGATCGAGAAAGAAAGAATTGACATTGACACCGGCACCAAAAATCAAATCGAATCAACCCCTCTTACCTCTTCGCCTCGACGCCGCATTGTTGGATCTCTTCTTAATCCCCACAGCCACAGACTCATCGACATCAGTATCCACTGCTTCCGCTTCTCCACTACCAGCAGCAGCATTACCATCGTCGGCCGCTGAATGATCCCCAGTGGCACCCACAAACCTCCCCACGCTCTTCCTGTAAGCCCACAGTGGCAGCTTCACGGCGAACGTATCCTGCACCCTAGGCCGCGGAATCTCCTCGACATCCAACAAAAACTCCTCTTTCACCCCATCCTCATTCTCTTCTTCCAAAAACACATTCCCGCCAGCGTCCACGATAAGAATCTTGCCGTTCTCTGCCATAACGCGCTTTCTATCGCCGCTGGAGCCAATCACACTAGTCTCGCCGCTGGGTGACGCGGTGCCAGATGAGCGGCCCTTCTTCTTCCCCTCCTTCCGATTCTCCTTATCCATCATCCGCTTCTGCCTACGATTCATAGCCATAGCACCTTCGCCCGTATCCGCGCCCGATCCCGAGCTGGACCCAGCGCCTCCGTTCAGCTGGCCTAGGCCCGAAAGGCCCTTAATGCCCAGCTCGTCTCCCCACGCCGCGCGTCGCGCATGTCGAATATACCGATCGACAAACTCCCGCTGCCTCTTCCAGCTCAGCACCAGCGCGCCATAATGTCCCGCACCGCCAAATACCACAAAGAGGCCAAAGAGCACGCTTCCTAGCCCAGGTCTGAAGCGGGAATAGTAGTAGCCCGTCCCCTTCCACTTGGGGAACCCATTGCGCAGAAAATGGTCGTAGCGGTCTCGTTCGGGCCCCTTGAGGATGTTATGGACGACGCCTAGGCGGGCATAACGTTCTGTAGCAAGCTTGACAGCTTGCGTAATTTCGCGCTGGGAGGGGCCCTTGGAGGCGTGTACACCGGGTTTCTTGAGCTGGTTGGTCGTGTAGGTGGCAACGAAGGTGCGCTTGGCTTTGTCTGGGTGGAGTTGTTTGGATTTTTTGCGGAAGGCTTTGAGCAGGTCGGATTGGGAGACGGTGGGTTTTACGCCGAGGAAATCTAAATGAGAGTTGGGGTTAGCTGTTAGTAGGTATCGTTATTCATTCATGACGTTAATTATATTGTTATTGTTGTTGTTGTGTTGGTAGGGGTTACGTTGGGTTGTTGATGTTGTATATCTGGCCGCAATATAATGAAAATAAAAAAACAAAAAGTAGCGTCGGGTACTCACCGTAGAAGGTAACATTGAAGCCTTCAGTCTGCTGCACCTCATCTCGCAAGCGGAAGATCTCATGATCTGAATGTAATCAATGATTAATGAGCCCGCATGTACATACATCACATAGAGCAGGGGAAGAAGTGGTCAGAATCGCATATCGAACCTTCTTTGGACCATGCAGCCACCAGAACCAGCAAGGCGGAGAGGACGAATAGCAAGCTTGCCAGCGAATGCCTCATTTTGGGCCAGAATGCAATAGATGGGGATTAGAAAATAAAGGAAGACAGGATGTCGGCGCCCAACGACGCGGGGATGTGCGTGGGTAAGGCTCAAAGTCAAAAAGAGAATGTTCCAGTTTTGTCAGAATATGTTATTTTAATACGCCAGCCAGGGCAAAAGGCTGAGGTCGAGGCGAGGGAGGCTGAGGCGGATTTCCCACGTCTTCCCCTGGTCGTGTCAGTGGTATTATTTTCGTTTGTCTGTGTGTCTGTTTCTTTCTTTGCCTCGCGCTGTTCCCAGCAACTTGTATTTTCGTTTCTCCACCAAGCGGCATCAAGATCCCAACGTGGACCAATCAAGCAATTGCAGCCTCGCCGCAGGTTCAAAACGTCGACAACGAGAACAAACAAAGGCAAAAAGTACAGCACTTGATGTGATGAGAATGTGGGAATCTGCAGACTGCAGACAGGGAGACAGGGAGACAGGGAGACAGTTAAATAGTCAGTTCGAGAGTTGGAGAGGAAAGAAAAAATTAGTTAATGACGGGGGTGTCGTTATTTAGGGCTTGTGCAGAAGGGATTTAAATGAGCAACCCCCCCCGTCGCCCGCTCTCTGGAACCTCCCTGGTCTTCTTCTTTATTTCGTTTGATCTTCTACTTCCCCCTCGCCGAATCCTTTTCTCTTCTTCCTTGGTCCCTTCTGGCCTCGTTGGAGTGGAGGAGAAGAGAAGTTGGCGGCCATGGAGGTTGCTGGCGGTGTTATTGGGTAGCCGCCGTGAGGCTTTTCCCAACATTACTGCGCATACATCAGCATCTAAGCCTAGTATGTCCACTCGCATTTTACATATCTCCTGCTACCCCTACTGCCTCGTATGATATGATATTTCTCGACATCATCATTGAATCTTTCGCCGTTGAAAATATAGTTCCATTTATAGAACCCAGCCCTAAACCTAAACCCAATCAGTTAACACAGGCACGTGACGACACTACCCCCTTTTCGGCCAGCCTCAGAGCGCTGAGTCAGCCACACTGACACTCCAGCCCTGGCGCTTTCCCCTTTCCGGCGCAAGAGACCCAGCTCCTTTTCTTTTGGATCTCGACAAACAACTGCAAGATTCGCTCTGACAACGGACTACATACTTCACCACGTTGCCCCGCACGCACTATACGATCTGAGACAATCAAAGACAACATTTAATCCTGCTGCCTTGAGTGCATTTCCGTGAGAGAAAGGCCACATAAGAGCGGTACGTGGCCCGTCTTGGTGCCGCAAACTTAAATTGCGCAACAACCCCCAGAACCCAAGAACCCAGAACCCAGCCCCCTTACCATCAAACTAATTCCCCTGTGAAGAGATACTGATTTGCTTGTTAAATACTCCGTAGAAAAAGAACCATTTGATAACTTCTGAACAACTGCTCGACCTCCTCTTTTTACGAAATACACATTTCCCAAAAATCTAACGCAATGGCCCGTCTTCAAATTCCGCTTGACGCCTTGACTTCGCGCCTCAACCTGTCCGACAGGTTTGCGGGAGTTCGCGCCCAGTCTCTCACTTCCCGCTTCTCCAATCTCAGACCAATCTCTGAATTTTTGGATATTAAGAGGGTTTCCAAGCCTGCCAACTTCAGTGAAGTCCAGAGCCGTGTCAATTACAACTTGAGCTACTTCTCCAGCAACTATGCCGCCGTCTTTATCATGCTCAGCATATACAGTCTACTCACGAACCTCATACTCCTCTTCGTCATTCTCCTTGCCATTGGCGGCTCATACGGAATCGGTAGGCTGGAGGGGCGGGATTTGGAAGTCGCCGGCTTCCGTGCTACAACATCGCAACTATACACCACGTTACTCATTATCTGTATTCCCCTAGGTCTCTGGGCTTCCCCACTATCAACTGCGCTTTGGCTCATTGGGGCGACTGGAGTGACTGTTTTGGGCCACGCTTCGTTTATGGACAAACCAATCGAGAATGCTTTTTCAGAGGAGGCGGTCTAGATGGTCGGCCGCGAACTCCTTACGATTCGCCCCTATGGGGAAGACCATCAGGGGCACGAGTGGGGAGATCGAAAAAGGAGGGTTGGCCGGAGCAGCTGGAGGAGTCTGTTCGGATAGAACAGCTGGGTATTGACGACTATGACGATGACGAAGACGATGAAAACGAAGGTGTTCTCTTAGGGCCGCCGTTCGATCCAGGCCGGTTTCATAACAGTAATATGCGCCCAATGTGCCCTGGTACGTATCCTGGTGTGCGCCGAAAAGGAAATAATTATGATTTTGACGACGATGAAGTTTGTGGGGAGGAGTACTCGAGCGGTGACGATGACCAAAGCGAACATGGTCTTGTTGGAGAGGACCCCAATAGTACAATGGCCTATGCTATGCAGCTGGCACGGCGGGATCAGCAGGCAATGCTCGTCGAGCGGGCCTTGGGCAAAATAAGGCGAGCGCAAATGCAAGGGCAAACAAAGGTCATGCTTTCGCAGCGGGAACTTGATGCATTGGAAAAGAAGAGGCAGCAGGATGGCAAGGTCAACGGTTCTAAACCGAAGGACAGTAGTGGGCAACCAGTCATCGAGAACAAACCTATAGCATCGGATAAACGAATACCGGGTGGATATGCTTCTTCCACTGGTTCTCCCAGATTCCGTTCGCCGACTGTTGAACCCTCGAGCCCTTCCTCACAGAAGCCTCGTTCGCGTGCACCCTCGATAAAATCAAGCAGGATGTCACATCATATGGATGCATCACCTCGTAACCAACATCCACCGATGTACCCGCAGCCCCTTCCATATTTCGTTCCGCAAGAGCCAACTGTTCGGCCAGGTTCCTCTTCATACCAATCAAACCCGCGTTCTGGCTCCAGCTCGAACAACCATTCAGCATATCCACCCCATCACCATCCCTCGCCCTATTATACATATCCCTTGCCTGCCACAGATACCCGCTACGGGTATTCGACGCATACCCACCGAAGCGCCCCACCGCCACATATAGACGCGACCTACCAACCCATCTATCGCGCTATGTCTGGCGACTCGTACATGATAAACCACTCATCCTCCGATCCTTTCATTGTGCAGCATGCTTCGCGCCTCTGCGAGTCTCCGCGATCCATGCGCAGGAGCAGCGGGAGCAGTAGCAGTGGCGACAATGGTGTGCACAACATTTCTGTGGCTGAGAGCCCGAGCGTGCCAGTAGGGTCTGAGAAGAAAGTCTCAAGTGGTAGTGGTAGCGGTCACGGGCGTATCCGCCGTCGAAAGCGTCGTCATTAATTAAACTGGCTTTGAATCACATGTCTGGCCTGACTCGTTCCCTCATCATCATCGTCACCGTTTCTGAACATAACGTAATCTACCGTTGTCATCGTTCTCATCGTTGTTGTCACTTGTCATCAATATCTACCCAGTTCACCGTGCATAGAACAGAAAAGTGAACAGACTCATCCGAGCGGCGTCTCCGTTCCATCCACCCGCCTTGTTTTTATTTTATTTTTATATTCTTTTACTCTTACTTATATATATCTTTTTAATTGAAGTTCCGTTTTCAACCATTCGTCCTTCATATCCACTTTACTTCTCGTCCCTTCAACTTTTATAGACTTATCTTCCACGCCCCAATCACTCGTGCCCCTTCTTAGTAGATTTCCTCCGTCTGTCCTCCTTTCATGGAAATTTTGAGGTTTTGGTTGTTTTACCTCTTTTCTGGCTTGATCATGCAGAGGAGTCTTACATGCTCGGCGAGGTTCCTTTTTTTTCGTTCCTGGAAATACAAAAATGAAATTTGAGGGTTACCTTTTTTTGCATACAAGGTGGGGGTTTTATGTTGTGCAATTGTTGTTTTCGCTCTATTTTGTTTTGTCTCATATTTAGTTACTAGTCTTTATTCTCGTTTCTTTTGATTTTCCATTTGAGATGCTACGCTTCTTGATGCATGTGGATAGGCATTGTATATTTTCTGCTACTTTAATTATTATTGTTATAATACAGGGATTTGATTTGGTTACCAGAAATGCTTCACCGCGGATGAAATTTTACCACTGTGCATTTGTTTTCTTTCTGCCTGATCTGTACGTCTTCACTTAACCTTTTTTAAACCTCTTTGAGTTATTAGTTAGAGCAGGCCTTGTTATTTTTCAGATAGAGAGGAAGTATTATGAAGGCTGTCATTTTTCTGAGCTCTAATCTTTGTTTCTTTCTCAATTGATTTTTCAAGAGCTGAGATGACCACGATGCACAGCTCATGGTTCACTCTAGCAAACTGACGGGCTACTTACTGGTACTGGTACGTACCTGACTGCAGATATGGTTTGGTCCCTGGACTCCAGTATTTATTTAACCAACAGTAGTCCATGAGAGCCCCGGTAGCGCCTTGGCGTGGGAAACCAAGGCGTGCGGGTGGACTGTGTTCACAGCTGGATTATGCAGCCAGGTTCAGCTGTTCAGTGCTCATGGAAGACTGGCTGAAGAAATTTGAGCTGTTTCTTGACTATGACTTGGATATCTACAGCTTGTTCTTCCTGGCCATCTTCTCCATGTACTTCCCCTTCTTGACCAGTGAGGTGAAAGACACCACTGCACTTGACATCACTGACCAGCAGAACACACACAGCATGCCCTTGCTGTGAGAGGTGTCATTGAGCTGTTTAAACTTGTAGAATGTGAAGATGAGGTCAATCATGAGATCTTGGCTTTCTCAATCTTACATGACAACAGGACAGTGAGAATCTACAGTCATTATGCAGTCATTGAGAGAAGCAAGACTTTCTTCTACTGTCACTCTATCAGAACATTTGACTTTACAGAGCTGGATGGCAGAGAGAAGTGAACTGCTTACACATTTATGAGGAATGTTTATGACAAGTGAGTGCTGGATTATCTGAAAAGAATTCACTTGGCTAACTATTGATGTGATTCCTTCTGAAGTAAATTTTGATATTTCTCAGTCAGAACTTGAACTCTCTCAATCAAAACACCTCATACTTTTTGAGTCAGACAAGCTTTGTAACCTCAGCAGAAGCTACACTCAATACTCTCTTCACTCAACAGACACATGTCTTGAAGTGGCCAAGGAGGCAGAAATAGTGTGTTGGTGTTGCGTGTTTAAGATAAGAATGAATTACTATCATTTCACTTGCATATGCTATGTCAACTTGATTCAGAATATCTCCAGAATATCTTTATATCTTTCTGTAAGCACATTACCCATAGATATCACACGTTGCGTAGTCGTCTGGATCCCCTGCCATGGATTCGCCATGAAAATCGTGTGATCATTTTGTGTTTTATTTAGTACCATAAAAGTCGCGTCTAGAAGCCCATAAAGCACTTCTTAAGAGCCGGAACAGGTCTCTTGATGATCTGACTCAGGAACTGTAACTCCAGGAACTCCCTGAGTAAATGCTAGGACAAGCCACTGGTTCATTTTCAGTCCAAAAACTAATGGAATGTGAGTTCTTCATATACCGAGACAATGATCAACCGCCGTGTCAAAAAGGTTATCTTATGACAAGTTACATGTATCTATTAAATACAGACAAAGCTGACAGTTTTCCATTCCACTTTCTTCACGCAGAGCCTACCACAACCTCTTTATCAATTTTATCAATCATGGCTTTACATCAGCATCAGTCATCTTTAGAAGAGGTATTGAACTCCCATGACCATCATGATCTCTTTTTTCTTTGTTTTATTCTTCTTGCCCATACATACTAGCCTTCTGGAAGTGTTTTCTCAAGAACCTGGCTGAATACAAACAGATTTGGGGCAAGATCCACATCAGCAACACACCTCATGATTTGGCGAAGCTTCTAGACTCTTTGCAGAATCATGTTGTCATGAATATGGAGCAACAAGCCTGTGAAGAAGCCAAGGCCGGACTAGCTGTGTATTATAAGGTCAGAGCTTAGAAGTCAACACTTCTCACACCAGCACTGAAAGTTGTTCTAGGTTGATATGAAGACATTTGTAGACAATGTCTGCCATCAGGTTGTGAAATGTCATATTGTATGCAATCTCAGCCACCTCTTCACACTCATAGATGTTCTAGTATTCTTAGATGAGGAGGTCAAACTCATCACTTTAGAGCCAAATAGTAGATAGGATAGGCAAAAAGAGTTGAAGATCCTTGAAAAACATTTAGAGGAAAGCTTCTTTGAACTCCATAGTTAGGATTGTAGGAGCTCCAGGTCAATGAAAGTTAAACTGTGCAGGTTTTCCAAGTCTGCCTCACAAAGTCTAGATATAGCATGGGAATAGCTTATTGAACAAAGATTCAACTGATATCTTGAGCCACTAGTCAGCAATTCTCGGGCGTAATGGATGACGGGCGCAGGGATGAATAGGCGACTGGATTGACGGGTGACCACATCTCAATCAAAACCATGTGTTGTCAGCTAAATCATGGTAGTAGTACTATTTATTTACAAGTTTGTAGCAGTTATCAAAATAAAATTCGTCTCGCTGCTGCTATTCCCGAGATATCCCATTTACGGGGCGCAGTGAGATCCATCCATTTCTGCCAATCACCTGTCTGGCAAGCAGGCCTCATGATCTGCGCATACTCCCAGTAATCAGGGTACCAGCCGGCATACTCCCAGTCGAGGATGCCGGTAATGTGATAATGGTCATCAACCATGATGTTGCGTGGGGCAATGTCGGCGTGTGTAAAAACCGTACAGGACGATCGAGGGAGCATGTCTGGTAGCTCATTTTTATATCGCAGACCACCAAAATGAAGGTAGCGGTGGTATATTCGGGCTCTGACATCTTCGTCTGTGTATAAAGGGGTTCCACAGCGGTCCAAGTCTTCAATTAGAGGGTCAAGAGTTGGCGAGCCGTCAGCAAGACACTGGAAGAACTGTTTAAAGGCAGGTGGTTGTGAGATTTCTCGGAGTTTGGCGATTTGATCCCATGTCTCACAGCATATAGACTTTTTTGTTTCACTGTTCAACTTATCCCATAGGCTTTCTAGTGTAGTGCCTGGAATAGTTGTCATCCCAATCTCGCCGCTGCGATCACTTATGAGGCTGTAAATAACCTCAGGAAGAGGGACAGAGGTGTGCTTTGCTACCAGCTTCATAGCTTCAACCTCAAAGCGCCTTACAGCTGTTCCACCCTTGGAAACATAAGAATAATCTCGCTCAAGAACCAACCGACCACCTTGCTTGCTTAGAACAGTAATCACATCCCCCTCTAATGGTGGTCCTTTCTTCGCATCAGGCGTAATTCTGAAGAGCATTTTATCCAGCTTGAGATAAGTCTCGCCCACATGGAGATTTTCAGATGCAAATGGAATGCCATCCTCAAGGTTGTGTGTGCTTTCTGATTTGGACACTATTAGGGCCGGGATTGAGGCGTTGGATGCCATGGTTTCGGGTGCTTAGGCTTGGTTTCTGCAGATGTGGAAAGAGAATTATCCTTCGTCGCATGCTTTTAAAACATTTGATGCCCAATCAACGAATATGTTGCGAGCGACTTCGCCGACATCCATGTCTAGCTGGGTTCGGAGTGCGACGAAATTCATGCATGCGATGTAGCTAGAAATGGTGGAAATTACTGTTATTATCAATCCTGCCACATGATGAGCGGAGGAATATAGATATAAAAGGACCGAGAATAGCCTTCGATTTACTATCCCTTCGCAGGTACAAAAGTTCCAACGTTCATCTTAAAGGTTACACAGATATATATCTAAGCCTTTAAAAAATATTTCCTCAAAGTTTGTGGCCCTTTAACGTATCCATATCATGAATATTCGTGTCTCAGTGCTAATCCTTTACTAGATGAGTAACTATCCACCCGCAGGCACTCCTTTCAAGTCCGTCGGCTTTTCTGAATATTGCGTGTTCAACGGCCGTGAGTTCAGGCGCAAAAGGGGGACACAACAATGGATCGAATCCGAGGAACTCGAAGGCAACTTGCCTACACTAGACCGTGCACTACGCCTCTCGCTTGTCCAGGAGAATCAAGCCGACGACGAACCCCAGCATTGGTCACTCTTTGTCGCCCGCGAAAACGAACCCGGCCCAGTTTACCAAGTCAAAGGAGATGCTGAATGCATGAGTTATCAACCTTCACCCGGTCCAACTAACATCCTCCAGTCGGCGTCTTTCTCAAATGCATACAACCTTGCCGTCGTCACGGACGCCCAGGCGCTCATTGTAAAACAGGTGGCCGAGAACGAACCCCCTCCGAGAGCAGTAAATCGACAGGCTGTTGTGGAAAATTGTCAAGGCTGGACCATCCGAGTGATTGCTAAACTTGTGGCCAGAGGTATTGTGGACAGTGCTAAGCTTGAGATGGCTAGGTCCATGGTCCAACCAATCTGAGGACGCTGATGGGAGATCCCTATTTCTATTGTGGTGATTCTGGGGTTTGTCTTCATCCATGGGGTTGGGGGTTGATTTTTGTATTGCAAGTATCCGTGAGCCCTTTTTTTTAGGTCAAAACATGACTGGACTTCTAGTTGTGGAGCAAATGTATTAATCCCATTAGTGTCTGGAGGGTGAATCAATGGTCGATATTGTTAGATATAGGGTACAAGAAATGTGTGCCTCACTGTGGTCTTTTGGTATCTGATGACCTGGTCGAGGCACTCCGGGTTTAAAGGCCTCCAATCGAACTCGGCGGCGATCCATATATTCAGTTCCGCCCGGCATATTAACTTAGCCAACATTTAGCCAGCTACCTTGTTGATGAATTGGGCGATACAGCCATCGATCTGGCTAAGTTTCACGGGCATGTGGAAACGGCCAAGGTGATTGCTGATCATGGGAATTGATGCCGGCAGCACTCTCCGGGGGACGGGGGGCGTCTGGAGCATCCTTCATTATACTGCCGATGTATTACGGGTAACTCTGAGCTCCCGGCTTACGTATAAGTTTTGCTATCTATGATATATTATTTTCTTTGTCCATATAAGGGGCAAACGAAAAGCAACCTTCCAATCCGTGAAGGAGACAGGAAGACGGAGAGAAAGAGCGATGATGATAGGAGAGGATGAAATAAGTCAGGCAAGCTAAGAATGTGCAGATCTATGAGAGAAAAATCCCTGATCTTAAAAAGGTTTCACGTGCATAGCTAGATGTTGAATCGCTGTTAATTTATTGACTATTGATTCATACATAGGGGTGTAGGAAGCCGAGCTACGCGTGGTACATTGGGTTCATAGTTTTGTTTCTCGTGAACATCTAGGATCCTACTTTCCGCTTTTGAGAACTATGCTGCAATTTCTCTCGAGTCTTCTTCTATCGACACGCATAGTCCACAGGTAGCTAACCTTGCAAGGTCCTACTTAAGGTAGGAAATCCATCTTTCGACTAGATATGTTTTGAATAGAAGAACAGAATACTGATATATCCCCTTCAGATCAGTAACGCATGTCCAGTGGATTTATCTGCGGGGAACGGCGGATTTCATTTGTTTGAATGAACAGAAGAGTCTCCGAGGTCCAACGAGGTCTCTGATTGACCAACCACATAAACATAACCTCATGAAACTGGGTGTGCAATCAGAACTTCTACGGATTCTGACAGGTTGGATATGGGGACTGACACCTTTGAAGCGGCCGTCTATGAGAGAAGCGGCTATCTCAATCCCCAAGCCATGAGTCAGAAGTGAGAGAACAGTAAGAATATTACTGCTGAGCCCCGTAATTGGCGAGCCCACCAATGCTCATAATCTACCTTTCGTCGTGGCTAGATGTTGGAAGTGCCAGGGTTACATACAGGGTTAAAACTGAGCTGTCAGACGGACATCTATAAACCCTTCACATGGCCAGGATGACCCCACCTTAAGGATTGACATTTATGGTACAGCGGCAAAAGTCCCCATAATTCTTCTAGCCCGAGCGGACTACGCAAGAGAATCCATCACCAGGGGGCTTATTGGACTCTATTATTCAAGCACGCGGACACAGTACAACAGGCGGCGCTCGAACCCAGTGACCTCCGCGTCCAACTGCCCAACACCTATGGATTATGGATATCTTCCAGAAACTGAATGAAAATGGGATTGTTCGGTGCCCTAGTATCGGCGAATTCCAACAGGAATGTTTTGCAATTGGGAATCATCACCTCCAGAGTGTGCACCATTAGATCGAGCCTTCTGTAGCCTGTGTTGGCCGAGTTTAGTTGGGCGGAGGAGCGCTGACCGAACAGGGCTGCGTTATGAGCAAAACAGGAACGGAATTACTAGGACTAGGGAAGGAGAGAGGAGAACGGAGAACGGAGATAGCTGTGTTCCGTATATGGAAAAGGCCTGGTGCCACTGAAGGATGCGGTGGAAGGGATTACAGACACGATCATGTTAGTATGATTGAGTATATTTTCTGTGTCACTTCCACCGAATAATCGCCTTTCCTGGTACTAATTGAAAATGATCAACCATTCATCTCTCCAATCGTTTGTGAAAGTTTGATTTTAAAAATATTTTTTTATAGTTATGAAGCTATTTTACTTTGAAAACTTTCTTGTTTGAAATTTGAAAATATAAAAATGAAGTTTGCAATCTCGTTCTATAAGTATGTATGTACATGTACATGTACTAATGGAATTGTTTGATTCCTTAACTACGTAGTAAGACCTAGAGTCCTTTCTAAAAATGTTTATTGTAAAATCAAAATTCGATATTTTTAACTATATTTTTCTTAAACATGTAGTTATATAAGCAAAGATAAATTGCATAACGTTGGAAAAATGTTTAATTAGCATAGAGAAATGGTCATCATCGGGTGGAAGTGATGGCTAGGTAGTAGACAGTAGTAAAGTATGGTATAACCATAGTAGCAATCATGATACTTCTATGAATCTGACCAGCTCTTCTTATACTGGTCCTTTGGAGGGTGGTTGGTGATCGGAGCGTTAGGCCACTCCAGAAACTTGCCGTGGATGATGCTAATCCAGCCACATTCAGCAATGCTCCATCCTGAGGAATATTTTGATTGCCTGATCAAAATGCAACAGCAAGACTCAAGCCCCTCAATCAAAAGAACGAATACCTCATCTGCGCCATATGTAAAAATAACCCGAATGCACCCAACACCATGTTCAGCACAAGATTCACGCAACCACAATCCCCACTCCTAGGTCGGCTCCCCTTCGAGATCCGCCAAATGATCTGGACCTATCTCTACCGCAGCCCCAAGAATGTGCATATCGTCCGCTGCCTGGAAAGAAAGACAAAACTGCAGTATGTTGTGTGTCGCGAAGGCATCAGGAGAGATATCCCTGGCAACTGCTGTAAATTCTGTCTCAACGCCTCCCAGCGGAGAGAGAAGGATTGGGCCCAGGAGTATGGCACGTTCTCCGGGCTCAAAAGGCCGTTTGGGGATTTGGTGGCGGTGGGGAAAACGTGTTGGTTTGCGTGAGTTTTGCAGCAATAAGATATTTAGCCTTAACGCGCATTTTTGTGGAGGACTTCAAGCATAAATTCCCGTTTTCCCACGAGCATATTGGATAACTGGTTGACTATCGCTTCTAACCGGCATTCTATCCTTCATTCTAACTCAAAAAACATGTATAATTTACATAGCTACACCGAAACACGGCCATACATATACTCTGAATGCACCTTCATCTTCGCTACGTACTCCAACTTCCTCCACTTCACCTCGACCATCTCCGCCGTCCACTGCCACCAGTACATCCGCTCCGTAAAAATATACTGGAACCTCTGCGGCGACTTCTTTGTAGGAGATGAGGAGGATTTTCTCATTCAACTCTCTGTTCTCTGCGACACTAGTAGGTCACTGAGCGGGCTGAGGCGATTTGTCATACTTATGCCCCCAGTGGATTGGTATGAGCGGGAGGACATGGTGGCGAAAGTCCTGGCACCGTTGGAGAGTATGCACTGTCCATGGGAACTGAGTGTTCATCTTACGTTTCATGACGCGGAGGAGCAGTTGTGGGGTTTGAGGGGTACTTTTAGGAGGCTGGGGTGGAGGGGAGTAGTTAGCGGTTATAAAGTAATACACGACCCCAGAACTTGGATTATACAAGTGCTGAGTGTGCGGGTTGGGTCAATGGATGTGAGCTAAAAATTCCGTATATTATTTGCTGGTTTGGTATTGGTACGGAATATGGAGTACTCGGTATAGGTTTGCAAAAGACATCTCTAATATCTGTGGCCGATGAGGAGACGGTTAATGGGAATATCAGTGCATGGTAACTTTTGGTTGTGTGCGGCAGGAAGACGATGGGATGAATTCAATTTCCCTCGCAACAACCAGCAGTAATGATTAAACGCGAGCCGCTCCAGATGAATAAGAGAAACCCAATGTCGAAGAATCCCACTCGATTCCGAGGCATTGTTGGTTGTATTGGAGTCGATTGGTAGTGCGATAATCATTCATTGTTTGGCACGACTTTGAGTTTCGGCTTCGGGCCGGCCCACTGTTTCCCGAACCAGAGCCCATCGGATATCAAAACAGACCCGTGTCTAGCATTTTCCAGTTGGATGGTTAACTCCGCTGGCTCGATATATTAGTGCCCGTTCGAGAGACATTCTTGGGTGAATTCAGCTGGGGAATGGCAGAAAAAAAAAATTCAAGACAGGCGGATATGGTTTTGGCTGAATTAGATGTATTTATATCTAACACACACAACTTAGGTCAATTAGCAATCACAAAATGAAGAAATATATAGCTAGGTGCTTGGTTGTAAACCTAGGCCATGATCAAAGCTTAACCGGAGCAATTTGGCCCAATGTAGTTATTCCAGAGCCGTCACTTCTCGACCGATGAACCCTTCACCCACTCAACCTTGACATGGAGTGAGACGTCTGATGGTTGTGGGGGCTATAGGGATAGAACTATGGCTGCGACGGACGATTCATGCCTTGGAAATATATGCGGTGATGTAGCTAGCCTGAGAGGTGTGGTCGACCAACTGGGGGTTGATATATAGTAGAGCCTGCAGGTTATCAGTAGAGGTATACTGGACGCTATCAGGGGAACTACTAGAGAATATGCCGTACATGCTATCTCAAAGCAAGATGAGAATATGACACAGTGCTATGAAAGGGTAAGCGTATGCATGGTGGCTTGTCCAGGGATGAAGGGTATATAAAAAGGTTTCACAGGGGTGTTCAGGTAGGGATCGTTATTCTCATGGATCATCAAGAGCATAGCCTGGATAAAGATAATTGTACTTGCGTTCAAGTCAGTGTACCTACATTTCATTACCATCCAAATTATATAAAGGGAGTGAGTGCATAAGAACAAGTTAAGTGATATCCTATTGGTAGGTATTTTCTTTCCCCGCAAATAATCCGGCTTCCGCGCTGGTCAGGTTTGTCGAGGAGTTTTGATAGCTCCCAGAAAGACGCAATCTGTCTAAACACACAAAGAAACGATCGACTGGCTATACGCTGCGTGGAGAGGTTGATAACATCAACATCCACCAGAACCCTTGGAGCTGGCAATGGTCAAAATGTGACAAGCACCTCTCATCTTTGGTATCTGGTGACTAGTCCTGGGTGCTTGATAGCTTCAGCTGCCTCGATAGCGCTTCATGCGGGAACGACTCCAGCTCCCCATTCTCAAAACATAGCTCAGGAAATATCATGCTTTTCATGCCATTAATCGTGATCCATTTCGTTCATCGCATTCGTAATATGGGATGGTGACTTAGAGGATGATATGACGCCATGGCGGCGCAAAAAGAAATTTCGCACGTGGCGTTGCGAACCTTAAAAGTTAAAATAAACCACAAAAAAGGAGTCTCTCATGGGGGGTTGATATTAGCAGCTAAAGGCCCTTGCGGATATAAAAAAATATGACTACCTAAAAACAGCCATAGTCATAGCGTCTAAATAGGTATCTTGAATATGTCTTTTGTACTCCGTACTCCGTGCATTACCCACCATCGAGTCCCGGAGTAATGCGGCTTCCGCTGGCTTCGGAGTTAGGCGGTGGTGACGCTTTATAGCCGTGGCTGCGCCTGCGAGATTTGAAGCTCGTAACGTATTTACACGTACGTTGCAGGTCAAAAAAAGTTACGCGCGTGAGAAATAATTGGAAGCGGCAACACGAAATAATGAATAGTTAATGCAATAATAATATCATAATACAGCCAGAGGTATCTCCGCATATAATCCTGGTGGGCCGAGGTCGATTATTATTATTACTAACACCCAGCCAGCGCAGTTAATAATCACCGCCGAGTCGGATCCGCGGGCGATGTCCTTGCCGAGCCCCGTTTGTTCGTTTGTTCGTTCGTCCCAGCCGTGCGCGGATGACGTCGTCTCGGGTGTGTTTTTGCCCTGGCGAATTCACTCGGATGCCACAAGAGTTATTATATCTTTGCGCCTCGATGCCTCATCCCCTCGTTAACGGTCTTGTCTTTTTGTTAATATTCTTGTCTGGTTAATACTATTCGTTCGTTCGTTTTAAACCCTTGTGCGCAATATTTGATATCACATCCCTAGAACAACGCCCTATTCCCAGGATCTGCTGCCCGCCTCTATCACCCTGGGCTATTGTCATTGAACTCCGATACGCAGAGAGCAAATTGCATCCGAAGAAACATATTCAAACCTCGCCGCTTGCCCTCATTGTTACCCCCACCCGGTCATATCTCCATCGGTCAAAACTGGGTGTCCACCTCCACTATAGCTTCACTGCCGTTGTTAAACTGCCATTGGGAAAGGGTATTCACAAAATGTGGATTATATCGTTTTGGATATTTCCTGTAATCGGGTCATGCATGTGGCTAGGTGGGTTTCCCTCTTGAAACACTAAAACAAACAAGGGACACCCCGGAAAGTATAGACAGCAAGCTAATAACGATGACCCATGGAATAAACAGCTATGCTCCTCACGATGCTGATACAATGGGCAGCGGTTGAAGGACGTCCACATTACGAGAGCATGGAACTATCTCAAACGATCGCATTCATATCAGACGTTGGCGCGCACGGATTAAAACCCCTCTTTATCACCGGTTGCTCCATCACTTCCGTGGTTTTCAGCGCTTCATTCGTATCAGAAAGATGGCTTAGACATCGCGGTCAGCTTGCCAGAAATAGAGGACGAGCAGACAAGACGTTTGCCATTATCTCAATAGTATTTTCGATGTGCGGAGGATTAGGACTGATTCTCTTGTCAATTTTTGACACCGTGAGATTCCCACTCCAGCACAATGGATGTCTGGTTCTTTTCATGTAACGTTCCACTTCTATTCCCCTACCCTACAAGCTTACCTTTTGTGAATATTTTACTGGGACATGTGCTAATCATCCACTCCGAGGCAAATAGGGGCGGGTACATTCTCAGCGCAATCTTCGTATGCGCCGAATACCAAAGACTCGGCATACACTATCGGGAACACACAATCCTAGCCGCAAGCTTTTGGATAAAACTCGTCTTTATCCTTGTTGAGCTTGCTCTTGCCGTTGCTTTTGGAGTCACAGGTCAACAGGGCATGAAAAACCAAGCTGCGGTCCTAGAGTGGAGTATGTTATGTCAATCCTTGTAGCCCTCTCCCCGGCTCCCTCTCAATATATAAGAGAGACTCAGGCTAACAAAACACGTTCATCCAGTAATCGCATACATATTCACCTTCTACGTCTTATCTTTCGTCGTCGACCTCCTCCCCGCAATCAGAACCCGCAACCACATCCCACAGGGGAAACGGATAACAGAAATGACCATGGCACAAAACGGAGCGCAACAAAGTCCATCGACGATGACGACTACTACTCCTCGACCTCCGCAAACAAGCGCTTATTACGAGCAACCCCTTACCACAGACTCCATGGGAGATCGAGGCAATGTCTACCGCGGGTATGTAGTAGATCAACAACCGACACAGGTCCAATTTACGCAAAGTTCGGCCGGCGGCTACGTGCCATATGGCCAGTCGCATGCTCAGGAAGGGGATTTGCGGGTCTAGATTGTGGTCCGCTGTTTACTGGTAATGAACCAAATCTTAAGAGTATTGGGGCTGTATAGTAGCAAAAAGGGGGCGCAGTTTTTTCTTTTTTTTCCCAGGAGCATCTTGCCATTTAGCGAGCATTGGGGCCTTTTCTTCCTTATTTTCTTTCTTTCTTTTCTTTCCTCTTTTTACTATTATTTTAATAGAGGGGCATCTCATAGAAGCCAAGAGGCTGGTTTCCCTGTAACGATTATTTATAGCATGGGACGGCGTTCAAGACGGGGGATACGATTTTTTCCCCCCCTTATTTTTGTCCTTAATGTTACCCTACCTGTACAATACCAGCAATTCCGTGAATCACTCTTTCTGTCTATTTCTTAATTTTTGATTTACATAGTTAAACTGCTGTAAAATGCCCTGTCCTATGGGAAGATATTATTCTCGCTAATAACTTGTATAATGTCCTCTTTTCGCAGAATTGCGGACTCAATTCACTTTCAACACTATTAAAAGGCAAGAAGCTTCTTGTCTCGGACGCCTCTTCTGCAAATACTTCTTGTTGAGATGATTTTGAGAGGGTGGAAGGAGCGAAAGGAGAAAAGTCATACGGAGTAGGAGCCTAGTAAGGGACGACACATAAGCAACCAATATCTATACCCTATATCCGTCATATACCATCACGCCACAAGCAACCCCCTAACCGTCTCAACATCCCCATCCTCCACCCCAATAGCTTTCAAATACCCTCGGACCCCACCATACCCTTCCTCCAAGAACCGCACGACCTCCTCCGTAAATCCAGTGGGACACTTCGCGTATTCCGCCGGCAGGCCCATGGCCTGCATCTCCGCCAACCGCTCCTCCAGTTCCGGAATCAGCTCGTCCTCCGACACTCGGTAGTCGCACGTTATTGCAGAGAGGGGTATTTTGCAGGTCGCTAACGGCCCGATTGGAGCTCCGCGTACTACATCTGTGTCCCCATCCCTCAATACCCCTCCTGCATTAATATTACCACCCGGCTCCTCCTCCTCCTGCTCCTCTCTCGTCTCACTCGGCACACCCTCATCACTGCCAGGAGACCCGGCCAATAACAAGAGTAGAATGATAACTAGTCCAGTCCGGTCCTTGCCCTGCGTGCAATGAATGAGTGTTGGATAGACGGCAGGATCACCCAGGTGTCCGAATAACTCTTTGATCTCTTCCTGACTGGCTGTTAGGGTGTCGTGGGCCAGGCCGTTGAGGCCACGGGGCACCATCGCCTGTTCGACGACAAGCTTGGTGGCCGCGTTGCGGTAGCCGGATGCGAGGAGGGTGATGGCTTTTCTGGGCGTGTATGGTTTTGTGAGATCGTGTTTTTGGAGTGAGGTGGATAACTTACTCACTCCTCTTTGATCATGCGAAGCACAAATAATCGGAGTTACAAAAAATAAAAAATAAAAAAAATAAGAATAAAATACTCACAGTATATTAAACCAGCTTAATCTCCACAGCAATAACTTTTCAAAGTTCCATCCCGCTAGACTGATCATAATCCGGCGCACACCGGGTAGCTGTACGAGGTGCTCATCATTCGCTATTGACTGTGGTTGGGAAGCTGGAGGTGATTCAGCATTACTATTGCTAAGCTGAGTAGCGAGCTGTCTGTTGGCTGCAATATTATGCTCAGTTCTAGAAGTATAAGAGTCATATTAGAATAACAGGTCGCACGAAAAATGGAAATTTTTGGTCCTTACGTTGACCTGAGATCTATAATAGAAGCCAGACGTAGCTCCTCTGCAAAGCGATGTCGATCTGATTTCGAAGCATTGTCGGGCTGTGGAGGATAGGTTCATGGAATATTAGCGAGATATGTAAAATAGAATGTAGATCTGAGCACTGGAAATCAGATGTTCCCATTCCTTATCATCATATAAAATGACAATAATATCATAAATATGGTTTTATCCGGTGGAAGAAGGAGCTGCACCGGAAATGACACAGTAGCATTTATCCGCCAGGACACTTTACAAAGGATTGCTCAACAAAGCAGCATAGAATACTAATCAATGGATAAATAGATCGACAAAGGGAAAAAATGAAGCAACATAAATAGAGATAAAACAAAAAACATCGAAGGAAAAAAAAAAAAAAAAAAAAAAAAAAGGAAGTATTACCCGTGCACTTCTGAATAAAACACCTTCTCTCACCACCCTAAAGATTGAATATATCAGTTTTCTCCAGGGCGGGTGAATTTATCGTAGAACTCCATATATATATATGATAATTAGATCCATCAACCGTGCAGTAGATGTCCTCGTACAAAACATGGTCGAAATACTCCCCAGGTTCAGGGGAGGAGGTGATTGGAATGGATCTTGGAGCTGCCTTTCGTACCGTGTTCCACACAATCGATTGATATGAACACCCACATCTCTGAGATTCAGCACATTATCAAATGGACGATCCGGGGAGCTGATTTCATCAACGGTGGTAGGCTTTGGGGTGTCATTATCAGCAGTCTTATTGTTTATGGCAACATCGACGTTCGCGTTGAGGCCCTGTGGACTAGGTTCTCGAGGACTCATTTGCGCTCGAGGATGTTAATGATGTTTATGATCCGTTTCTGTCTTCTTCCTTAGAGGCCAGGTTGTTGTTGTAGCATCCTTGATCAGAGTACAGTCCGCTGTGGGGTCCCAGGATCCAAGCATACATCCATGGATAACTTAGTCTCTGAAGATCTGCAACTGCCGCGATTGGCGGTGGGAAAAAAGTTGACGCGAAGTCTATATCTCGGGGGGAGCTGCGACTGGAAGATTATTATTAGCTAGGAACTCGCACGCTCATGTATGTAATGTACATGTACATGTACATTACATGTAGTTACTTACATCTAATCAATCCTTTTGCGGCTACGATGGTGTCATGCTGAAGACGAGAAGAAGGGATGGTACCTGGGTTGCTGGTGTGGTGCTATAATAATTAATTTGTTCGCTAATCAGGACCCTTTTTCTAAACAAGAACAAACGGAGACTACATACTTGCAGTCTATAATGACAAATGGGTATTCTATACTAGCATTACAATGAGCGCACATCAATGATATTGTAGGCTACTGGGGCAAAAGAGCTCAGTCACCACCAGCGCACTGCTGGTAGAAGGGCCGATCAACCCGGGACCCCCAACAGATATTTACAGATTGTATTAGCAATCAAGATCTCCTCATTAGAGGTTGTATGAAATAGTGACCCACATCAGGAGGGGGCTCTACACCCCGGAGAACTCTATACCCAGGGAGACTCTATACTCAGAGGTTCTCTATACCCGGGGGCTCTATACCCGGGGGCTCTATACCCGGGGGCTCTATACCCGGGGGGGTCTCTATACCTGGGGGGGGGGGGCTCTAAGCTGTATACACCTGGGGATTCTGTATTGTACAGAAGTGGAAATTTTGACTTGACTAGTAAAGATATTTGTTGACCACGGATATCTCTCGAAACATACATATCTCGTAACTATAGTTGCTTGCGGGCAACGTCTTGTGGAGTTTTCCTTAAGTGCTCCATATCTTTTCTTTAGCTTTTTGTAGTGATCCTAGTCATCTATATACTAGGCACCTAGTTCATTCTCATTTTCACACTTCCCAAACTCTCTTTTGTCCTTATTCTTCTTTATCCTTCTTTTTTCTCCATTCAGTGCTGTTCTGCCGGTTGTTGGCGGCCCTCGAAAAGGCTTCGAATAACTAGATGCATTAGAGTTGGCATTTATCTCGGTGGCCTAGATTCCTTGTCCGAGCTACCAACAGCGAAGGTGTCAAATACACACAAGGGCAACGGGTATTGGACTAAAAATGATTATGACAGGAGACGTTTCTTTGATACTTTAGTCTCTTCTTTGGGTTCCTGAGCGGAGATATCTCATGAGTTAGAGACTTCTGGACGGCTAGGTTTTCTTCCTATGGAGTATGGAACACTCGAACGTTGAGTGCCAATATCACCAGCAGCTTGGGGAACTCTAGTGCTTTCCAGAACTGTGGACATCGGTCTCTGTGGCTCGCTGGAAATGACAACATCCGGTAACTCGTCAATTGCGGAACATAGTCGTCGTCTGAGATGGGACGGCGCCCAGTGTTGATAAACGCCCAGAACGAACTTATAAGATGTCCACCTCTCCTTCCCATCGAAGTTTGTGAAGTCAAAGGAGTTAATAAGATGACGGTAATACTTGGCATCCTCTTCAATTACTGGATAATGGCCGTATATTCTGACACATCGATGGTTGTGGGAAATTGAAAACCCCAAAATCTCTACGTTGAGCTCCTTCACCCGACCGATACACCTGAAGAGTTCAAATACCCCACGCAAAGAAACCGCCATGCAATGCGCGTTCTGGCGGTCTGCCACTTCCAAATCACCTTCGGTACTTTTTAACTTCGCATGTCAAGAAAGGAAAGTACATATAGCTCGTGCCCTTGAAGTAGGAGTTATCCCCAGTTCCTCCTAAGAAAGGCGCTAGGCGGTCCAGCTGGTGTCTTGAAAAATGATTTTCTTGGATACCCCACAGCATGGTCAGGTTGTGGTTGGGGATAGTGTAGGGGAACAGAATTGTCCCATCCTTCATTAAAGCTTTCGATAAGATAGGATAACGTGACATGTTGTTTGCAAACTACACCTTCCGCAGATGGTACAATTAACTCGGTGATTGTACGTATAATGCCAGCCTCACTGTAGGTTGCGATTCGCTGGCAGGTTGACTCGAACAAAGCATCACTGAACTGAACCATGTATCTTTTGGCAGCACAGGGTTGTGCGCAAGCAGACACTGGCAATCACTGGAGCTCTTGCTAGTAATGCGGTGGGGGTGGTCGTGGAAGAAAATGTTCTTATCCGTAAGAAAATGGACGTAATCCACACCGCGATAAGGGTGACTTGTTGTACGCTGTGAGCCCGACGCGGTTGGGACTGATTGGTTTGGGTCCGGTCAGCAAATTGTCTTCCGGCATAATTCCAAAAAAATACCTTTGGCCAGTGTTGATTCTCTACCCAAGATTCAATCAAATTCTGCTGGGACCACTTTTGAAAGTACTCGGACTCGTCGTTGGATGGAAGGCTGGGCTCAGAAGATGAATTTTGATGTACAGTCGACCTTGATTGATCGCAAGACATCTTTGAGAATGAGATGTAGAATAGTCATGTTTTCGGCAAAATGGACTTGTGGAAAGTATGTCAGACACGCTGTCGTACGAGGTCTTCATGTAGCCGCCTGCCTACCACTGAGGGATCACAAACGAACTTCATATAGTGACCATTTCAATTATGAGTGGATAAGCAGTTGAGGATGGCCTGAAATGCAGTCGAACAAAGATCGTAGAAGCTCGTTCTGTTCCCTTTGCTGTTTGAATTCCGAGTTCATGAGGCCAATAGAACAGCTTTAATTACACACATGAAAACACTGATCACATAGTCCACTGTAGTTAGCAGTAAAATAAAAAGTCCACATCTAAACGACAAATTTATATCGTTATCTGGGATGTCTACGCTGTAGATACCCTGGCTGAACTTCCGAACCAAGTTTGGGAGGGGTTGTTGAAAAGGCTTAAAAACAAGCTCACGAACTAGTTAAGAGCTTAGGGTAACTAGCACTAGCCGGGTTGTCTAGCTGGTGGATTCATGGAAGAGGACGATTGTTGTGGTTGGTTGATTAGGTATTAAGTATTAATAATTGTCTTCAAAGCTACATACATATACTGACTTGTACGGAGTGAGTGGTAACTCCTTATGGAAGTTCAAGCTGCGTCCACGAGTGAAATGTGGGGCATCACGTGATTTCCCAGTGGAGGATCTGTAGAAGTTTTAGCCGCAGCCGCGGATTGGGGTGGATGCGATCCGCCGCGCTAAACTGGATTAACCGCAGCCCTACGTCACTGACAGCTAACGGAACCAGACATCACGAAGGTCACAGTTCGCCTCCTATCCCATTATTGCTCCTGGGAAGCACACAGCTGGGAAATGGCTAAACGAAACTTTGTTCGCTGGTGGAGACGAGTTGCCCCAGCTTTCTTCTGTCCGCAGTCTCCTACATCTATTCTGACCCACCCAACTGACCCGATTTGGAGATATGTTGTCTGCTTTAAACAAAACTACTACATCTACATTTCACCTCACCTTATTGACAAATTGCGGGCATCGCCATGTCCACCGCGATGGCTATTGAGCCCCGGCAGCAACCGGATCGTACTGAGAGTCTTGGTCAGTTTCCCTCTTGCACCTGTCTTTTTGAATATCTGCTAGTTACGCAATCTAACTATCTCCTCCATAAAGCCTCTTCAGCCGCAACGCATGTAGCTCGTCCCAGACCGTCAGGATCAATCTCTGACCAGGCTAGCCGTGGTGGTGAGTCTATTCTGCACCTGTTCCATCCGTTGCGCCCATTCCGCCTGGAGCAACTTGAAACCGTCTCTTAACACATTCTGGTTCACAGATACACGCGCGTCCACGAACCCATCTAGCTATGTAAAGTCGTTCGACGTTCCCTCAGCGGATCGAAAGTTGGCGTCAGCTGGCGCTGCTGCCAGCTTGGCACATGCAGGATACACGACTCGCGAGATAAACAAGGTCGAGACTGAGCACCCTTTAAGGAACCCCCAGCTTACTTCCACAAGCTCCCAAGCTGCATGCCAAGCAGTGAGAACAACACAAAAGAAGCCTACCAGCCATGAGAAAGAGCCGCCCAGGAAAAATGCAGGGGCAAGGCTCGCAGCGACCGGTGCATTGTCTAAGAGTCGCAAGAGAGCAGTATCAGCCCCGCCAGTGCCCAACGACAGCAGCCACTTAACCCACGCAGTGACCGCAGCTTCTACATCCCACAAAATGTCTTTCAGACCAGCAACGGTACCGGAGGAGACTCGGGCTGAGACTCCATTGGACATCGGAAAGGTTCATGAAGCCGCTATGGTAAATGCCCGACGCGATCTCCAACCCGAGGCCGAAGACAACATACATGAAAGGGCAGTGATGATGGCGCGGCAAATGTTTTCAGCCATGCCTCAAGTGGAGACCACCACGGCTTCCATAAATTCCCGCCGTCCGCTATCTTTGCATGAGACTGCCCAAAGATTAGCTTCGGAGAAGTTAGACATGATGCATGACGAACAAAAGGCCTTTAGAGATTACTATAGTGCTGCAATCCCCCCACCAAGGCGCCACCGCTCGCTTCATTCAAAATTCGGGAAGCGTGCTACCAGCGATAGCGGCGTGACAGACATTGACAATGAACAATCTGAGGAGATCCGATCGCAAATGACAATTTTCCGTAGGAGAATGGCCAGGGTTGATGCTGAGAAAATGGCCCGCGACCATGAGGCTCTGATGAATGCCGCGACAAGGAATGCAGAAGCTGTGATAGATGACGTTGATAGGCGTATTTATGAATCTACAGGAAGGCCGCAACCTCGTGTGACAGAGAAACTTATATCCCGTCCAGTTGAAAATGCGAATGTTGTCCCTATTGGTGCAGGGCAGTTCGTCACCCAAAAGGATGTTAGCCGTGTTGCAAGATCAAAGGCCAAGCCCACCATCGAAGACGTCATGAGACGACTTGAGGAACAGAGAGCTAGGGTGATAGAGGAAGAGCTGGATGAGCGGGAGGCACTTCGGCAGCGAGAGCTAGAGAAAGAAAGGGAGAAAGAAGCGAGGAAGTGCGTACAAGAAGTGAAAGGTTTGTGTTTTAATTTCATTCTTCGCTGTACCACACATTAGCCTATTTGACACGTATGACAGAAGAGGAAAGGAAAAACGCCAAGACACAAAAGGAATCAAAGAAGCTTTTGCGTCGCCGCCTCAGCAAGTCCTCACGGGGCGGGTTATTCCGACGCAAATCCGCAAAGGCCCGTGGGAAGGTTCCGGCCAGAGAGGAGGAGGCCCCAGCCTCGGGTGCCCTGACTGATCACCGAGCTCCGCAAGATGAAGAAGAGGACGACTGGGTTCAAGTTCCAGAGAAACAAAGTCCCCCAAGATCCCAGCCTACCACCTCCAGTGCGGGAGAATCGTCCCAGTCCATATTTTTGGAACCGCCGCGTGAAAGTTTGTCCCGGCACGCAACTACCGCTTCCAACAAAACACAATCTGGCGGTTCGGAAAAATCCAGCTCGAGGTCGAAATTGTGGTCTAGGAAGAAGCGAGAAAGTGCGGAGGGCGAGCCCAGTCCGCCCAGCAAGACGGGCGATGCCGGTCGTGCGTCGGGAAGCGAGAGTGAGAGGCGGAAAAGCGCACCCGCAACCGCTCCCACTGTAGCTCCCTTGGCCGCGCCTTCGGATGGAACACAGGCTACAAACAACAGCCCTTCATCCATTTCAGCCAGGCCGGTCTGGAGCTCATCTACAGAAAGCTCAAGAGTCATCAGCGACAGGAAGAAACAGCAGGAAGGAGGAGGAGGAGTCCTGAGAAGGCGGTCGATGAAGACCAAATGGCATCTTCGTTTTTTCGGTAAATTAGCGCGGAGGCCTCGTTTGGGAGCCGGTCCGGGTTCGTTTGAAGTGCAACGCGAACGTCCTATTGTTCAAACTACCGCCCCGGCCCCACCGGCTGCTGCGAGTCTTAATACTGGATCAGAGGTCACGTCCGAGCCTCTTCAGACCATACCGTCTCAGAAATCATCGACTGATACCCCGACAAATCCCTCTAAATTCACGGAGAACCTGTGATTTTCAACTTGGGCATATCACCGCGAAACAAATAGTGCAACTATTTAGCGTCCTATCTCTTTCACACGCTCGCGCTAGGGGGGAGTTCGGTTTTATAATCTTTATTTTGCCCTATTCCTTTTTTATTTTTATTTTTATTTTTATTTTTATTTTTATTTTTATTTTTTGCATTCCTTGCTCTCAATTGTCCGGTAAATAGCACGCCGATATCACTCATCAAATTTTGCAAATGTTCAAGGCTTCCTTTTCGTCTTTTTTATCTTTTTATCTTTTTCCTGTTTCACCCACCCTTTGGTCTATTCAGTGCCATCTTCGAGGTTGAAACTGTTTTTCGACAACCCCAATTGAGTGACCAGTGTGAATTGCGAAGGGTTTCCGGCTTATATCGAGGCGTTGAGGCGCTACAGTTATCGCTAGTTATGTTGCTGCTTGATTCGAAACATTAATATGGAAGAAGGGAAACGGAAGTATACCATGTGGTATGCCTAATAATAATATGGGTCATGTTGGCGTTTTCAAGGTTTGGGAGTTACAAGGAACAAAATTGGTGATCTTCTGCTGGTTTCACTACTGATGCTTTCCATTTCTCGATCTTTTACACCGGCGACTTCCCCGATGATGTTTTATGCTGAAGTTATAGTGTTCAATTTCGCTTGTTTCCGGCTTCTGGCCAAAATTAGCTGAGAGTTACGCTGGATAAGGTTGCTATTCCCCCCAAGCTTAATAAAGTGCTATAAAGTGGTGTCGCTAATGTAATAATAATCTATTTACTAGTTAGGGGGGTAATTCATAATTAATATAAATTTTTTCAAAAACTAATTGCAATTGTTATATAGGGCAGACACTTCATGGATTACTGTAGTATGCTTAATTAATAGAACCAGTAATTAAATGTAACTTAGTTGGCCCAAACCACAAACTTGCTGACAAGGAACCAATTTGTTCAACATATTTTTCTTTCATTGATCAACCGATATGTTTAAATATATCACAGAAATGCCAAATATCTCATCCCTTTCTACATGGCGATAGTGCGCGCGTTAATAACCCTTGCGCAAGCAACTATTACTATGCTCCAAGCACGGAATGGCCTACCTTGCCTTTTTATACGCCGATAAATTACCCCGCGAGTTAGCATCAGTGGGATGCGCCGATGCCACTTCATTGGACCGATTGCCCGGAAGACTCAGAAGATTATTTCTACTCACAAAATGTTCTATGGGAACTCATGAAAAACGACCCATGAACATCTTCTCTCGCGGCCCAATATCATATCGAGATTACATTATTCTCACCGGGACGTGATACAGCCAATATTTGATTACCCAGCCCGCGAAAGGGACAGACCCATATCGACTTACGTTATTATTTAGCTCTGCCCTGTCCATACCGCAGTTCTAATACTCAACGGCCATTATTTAGACAATCATGGCGGAACCTCAATTCGGCCCTGTAGTTCCAGAGAACCCCGCTATCCCACCTATACGTAAATCACTACACGGGCAAACCATCTCACTAGAACCCCTCACTCTGGAGCATGCCGATTCCCTCTTCACCTGTCTAGGCGGCACAGACAATGGGAGCATATGGGACTACATGCCCGATGGGCCCTTCACGTCAGAAGCCGAATTCGACATATTCATAGCCAGCTTGGCCAAATCCGAGCAGCGGGTCTTCTTCAGCGTCATAGACCGCACCGGTCTCAATGCCCACTACAGGGGCAAGGCAATTGGCTTCCTGAGTCTCCTCCGCATCGATGTTAGTAACCGGGTGGTGGAAATCGGCTTCGTTACCTTCGCCCGGATGCTGCAGCGTACCACTGCTGCGACGGAGGTATTCTACCTCATGCTTAAATACGTGTTTGACGAGTTACATTTCCGCAGATGTGAGTGGAAGTGTAATGATTTTAACGAGCCGTCGAAACGCGCAGCAATACGGCTAGGGTTTGTGTTTGAGGGGGTGTTCAGGAACCACATGATTGTTAAAGGGCGCAATCGCGACTCGGCGTGGTTTTCGATTGTTGATCATGAGTGGGAGGGAGAGGTGATGGTGGCCCTTGAAAAATGGCTGAGCGCTGGCAATTTTGACGCTGAGGGCAGGCAGAAGCAGGATCTGGTCAGTATTAGACAGGAGAGATAAAGGATTTCGAAGTTATAAGTGTTTCTAATGTCTGTAGGACATCAGAAAAGGACCTGTACTTATTTCATTTTACTTTACATTTTTGCCCCAGGTACTTTCCGCTAATTCTTCGGTGGCATGTTCACGACCCGGAAGAAATAATAATAGTAGAATAGAATAATAGAACTTTTATCGGGAGTTGCGAGCTGCTAATTCTTCTCTGACCCGCAAATTTTGTCTCGCTAACGTGCGCATTTCAGATCTCAACCATGCTGTTGAATTGTGATTCAACTCCTTCGTTTGGTTTGTTTTTTTTTTTTTTTTTCATTCGAGTTCTCCCGTCGAGTGAATATCATCTAGAAATATTCGGATGGATAATTGGCAGTCATTTCCTGAGACATAACCTCGAATGGCAAGGTGGTAGGTAGGTATTTACTGTACATTACATTGCGAGATGCTACCCTAACCTAACGGTAAAGGCTGAACTCCCTACGCATAGTATACCTGATTTCACCGAATCCGCCCATCCCATCCAACGCCGGAGCGAGTGTCTACATCGCCGACCTAAAACGTGCAGTTCAATTAATATACCGGCTGCAGAGGATGCAAGGGATGCATTCTGCCTTAGTTATGGAGTTTACCCAATTAACTAAGAGATGATGACCTTATTATTTATATGTTAACAAGTCAATAACTGATTGATTGATTGATTAATTGATTGAATAGATATACTGAACTGAGAATGTTAACTTATTATAGAATTGTGGCGGACATATTACTTGTGAAAACAGAATTTTCCCAGCCCCCTCTGAAAATTAGTAGCAAAACACCACCAAAAAATCAAAATATCCGCATTTCTCTAGAATCATTCAATATCATCCAATACACATCTTTTTCAATCAAATATCATCCAAATACGCGTCTTTCTTACCTTTATCATCAATATGCCACCTCAACTCTGTGATTTCATTATCAACAAGATTGTACATCTTAAGAATGATTATATGTCTGCTGAGATCGCGCGAAGCATTGATTATCATCTGTGTATATTGAATTCAATGAAATCTTCACTGTTTTGAAACTGCTAGAGAACTCTGTTCAACATGTGATATAAAGTCAAAGATTATATCAGATATCTCTTCAATTCTGAAGAGATTTGATGAAGATTTTGAAGCTTTTTTGTATCATGCAGTTGAGAACTTCATAAGAGAAAAAGATATAAAAGAATATTTCAGATCTACTTATATAGAATAGTATTATAATAATTAGAAAGATTCAGATTACAATTCATTATAATATAAATTTAGAAGTGAAAGTAGTATGAGATCTGTTCTCATCACTATAAATAGTGAATAAAGATGATTTGAATTTCTGCAATTTTATCTGTTATAATGGACTTTTTAATCCATCTCTTATAATTTGAAATATACTCTTGTCAATATTCATATGAAGCAACTGTTCCCTTGTCAATCAATTGAAGTATTCATCAAATTGAGGTATTGGACTGCTTTGAATTGGAGATGGAACAGTGGATTCGATGGAAGATTCAACGGTGGATTCGATGGAAGATTTCAACAGCGGATTCGATGGAAGATTCAACGGCGGATTCGATGGAAGATTTCAACGGTGTATTCGATGGAAGATTCAACGGCGGATTCGATGGAAGATTTCAACGGCGGATTCGATGGAAGATTTCAACGGTGGATTTGATGGAAGATTTCAACAGTGTATTCGATGGAAGATTCAACGGTGGATTTGATGGAAGATTTCAACAGTGTATTCGATGGAAGATTCAACGGCGGATTCGATGGAAGATTTCAACAGTGTATTCGATGGAAGATTTCAACAGTGTATTCGATGGAAGATTCAACGGTGGATTTGATGGAAGATTTCAACAGTGTATTCGATGGAAGATTCAACGGTGGATTTGATGGAAGATTTCAACAGTGTATTCGATGGAAGATTCAACGGCGGATTCGATGGAAGATTTCAACAGTGTATTCGATGGAAGATTCAACGGTGGATTTGATGGAAGATTTCAACGGCGGATTTGATGGAAGATTCAACAGCAGATCTGGATGTGGATGATAATGAGATTGTGAATTCAGTTCTTCTATTCCTTTCATCATATATTTCATCATCATCACATTGATTATCTCACTTGAGAATGTCATATTGAATGAAGTTGAAGCTGCCAGAGCTGAAGAAGAGAATATAATCACTGACATTTGAGAGATCTGTATAGAAGAATTGATTGTAGAAATTATAGATTCATTCTTCTAATTCTTCTTCTTCTTTCTACTCATTAATCATTTTATCATCTCTCTTGTTCTTTATCTCATTGATAATCACCCGTTCATACAATCTGTATGAGATGTCAGACTCAGGTGTAGGGATTCGCGGATATCAAGGATTCTCAGACTGAGTCACTATATTCTTCTCATTCATCTGCTCCTCCATCTCATCATTGACTGGATCCTCTCCATTATCCAGAACTTCTGGAACAGGTAGTTTGGGGAGACTGAGGTGCAGAGTAGGAGTCTTTGTACAGGCTTGCGAAGCAGCAGGACAACAGGTGTTGTGAGACATATTGAAAAAAGGGTTGATTGATATATGTGGATTTGATGATAAAGATAAGAAAGACGCGTATTTGGATGATATTTGATTGAAAAAGACGCGTATTGAATGATATTGAATGATTCTAGAGAAATGCAGATATTTTGATTTTTTGGTGGTGTTTTGCTACTAATTTTCAGAGGGGGCTGGGAAAATTCTGTTTTCGCAAGTAATATGTCCGCCACAATAACCTTGTATGCCGACCATGATTAAGGATTAAGAAAATGAAAACAATAAAAATAAATAAATAAAACTCTAGTGATTTTCGCATCGTCTTGCCATCATCACCATATGCATCATTGTCTTAACGAGCCAGCCTGCTAGTTATCATGACAATCGCAATACCGCTTATCAAGGGGTTTGTCGCCCTGGCTCACCTCGCTGCCCCTATCTCTGCCAGCTATGCCTTCTATGTAGGCAAGGATCTTCCGCTGATGGCGGCATGTTAATCGGCGGAACAGGGGAGGAGGTGTCCAACCATTGGGTACAGCTGTTCCCGCGCGAGATCATGCACCCAACGAGTCTATCCGAGTGGAGTCACCGGATGCCACGATTCCTGGGGAGCTAATCAAATACTCGGACTTTTAAGGGTTCCCCCCTCCATCGACCAACGGCGGCATCAACGAGAAGGGTGTTGAGGTAAGGGACATCTGGGCCAGCAACGATGACGAGCTGGTTAAGATGACCCCGACACCACAACATGGCGTGCAGTACAGCAACCTGGCACGTCTGGTAATGGAGAGAGCTAGTACTGCCCGGGAAGGCGTTGAGCTGTTCGGAAATCTGATCAAGGAGCGTGGATATGCTACTTACGGAGGCAACTCGCACCTCATTGCCGACTGTAACAAGGGGTGGGTTGTCTGAGAGTTTGCGGGCAGCCAGGGCCTCTGGGCTGGGGAGCGCCTTGGTCCAAACGAGGTCTGCGTGCTATACCCAGGTTGCATTGAAGATTTTCCCGTCAACTTTGCCAACCGTGATGACTGTATGGGTTCTGAAACTATCATTTCATTTGCCATTGAATAAGGTTGGTGGGATCCTGGTGGCGACAGACCCTTCAATATCTTCAACGTCTATGACGTCCAGGGGCCCGATTACTCGGCCCGCAACGGCGGGTTTAAGTACATCTCCCAAGCGCAGCTGGAGAATACAACTCTCGCTATGGTCCCTGTTAGCGAACAAGATCCAATCGAGCGTGTTCGCGGATGACCAAGCTAGTTATGGACAAGTCTTGAGCTTAAAACAGGGCGTCCACCCGGACCTATTGCGGATCTGGATCGCTCCAACAGCCTCAGTGGCTGCACCTCATGTCCCTTACTGGCTTCGGGTTAATTCCATCCTTCCCGAGTTTGGTCAACACCACGACGGCGCATCGAGTACTTTCCTGAACCCGGACTTTATGTTGCAGCAGGCATCTCAGTTCGCGGGCCGGTTGTTTAAACGAGTTTTATACTACATGTGCTCTAATCCGAAAGGTTTCCTGCCAATCGATAGATATGTTGACGGCATTCGAGGAGTAGTCACGGAGCGACATTGGCTGGGTCGAACAGAGCGAAAAGACGATGATTGAGCAGGCCAGCCCCAAAACGGCCAGTAGTTGGCTTTGACCCTGATGTGCCGGCCAGCAAGCAACAGCAACCATTGAGGCGAAGAGAGTTATAGGAAGAGTCTGTTGCTCCACGGGTTTATATGTATAGCAAACATACATTAAAGTAGAATTGAGTGAAAGAATAGCCTAGTAATATATCCTTTTTACGGTCAGGCCATCACAATATTCGAGATTAAGATGTAATCTCAAGATATAGTGATATTTAACATCGATCTGGATATACCTTAGGCTTATAAGTTAGAAGATAGTTGCCGTCTCGCAATCAAAAAACGTCTAATAATACACTCCGTGTAAATCATTTACTTGTTACATTTATATTATTCATTCCTCCGGAACAGATACGCCTGAAACCTTTTCGCAAATTTTCAGCAGCTCCTCTTGTTTACTCACATTTCCAGCCCCAGGATGAGGCGATGCTTCCCCGCTTATTGTGAAAAATGTTCCGCTTTCCAGCTTCGCCAACTTCCCCTGTCCAACTGCCCATTCAGCCAGTGCCTTGGCTGGCTTGTCCATTGATCCCGGAGCCATCGAACCTCCCATCTTGGTCCTCACCCAGCCGGGGTGCATGCTTACAACTTGGATATCATCACCCCAGCGCCTCGCAAAGGCATTGGCCAGCATCACATCATGCAGCTTGCTATCTCGTATGAGTGTGGCCTTATCGTGTTCCGCAGAGTCTTGTCACCGTCATAGTGGCTGTCTGAGCTCATAAAAAGCAACCGTGAGGTGGGTCTTTTCATCAAGCAAGTGAGGATATACGGCGCAAGCATGTTGACGGCGAAAACGGCCGAGATCCTGTCCACGGTGATTTCCTGGCTGCTCGTGGCACCGTAGCCGATGCCTGCGTTGTGAATTATGGCGTCGAACGCCCCGCTCCCGGATGCATTGGCGACTTCTGCCAGTTTCTTGGTTTCAAAAATTGATCGCAAGGTCGCCAACAAGTACAGCTTCGGCGTTAGGTACTGCTCGCTCTGTCGAGGAAGCGCGATCTGCGTTGCGAGCATAAAGGACGACCGAATGGCCTTGATCGGCAAGTATCTTGGCCGCAGCCTGGCCGATGCCGTCGCTGGAGCCGGTGATGAAGATGCGAGCCATGGTTGGTTTTGGGTCGTCACGGAAGCTTTGTTGTCATGATAAGCTTAGTTACCTATGTACGCAGTAAGTAACTACACGCGAATGACCCGCGGGTAGACTAACCGAGTACGGTATGGCTCAGCGATGGTTACCCGTTGACCCCAAAGTGTATTTTAACCTCAACCATCAACAAAAGTCTCCTACACAGTCAAAACAAATACAACATACAAGCTATCAAATATGTGCACAGCCGACCAGCGTACTAATATTTTGCTAGTGGACGGTTTCCTCAACGTTTACGGACTACAAGGTCTGTGGTTTTCTTTACGGGATCACCCTAACTGGAATACCATTTGACGAATTAGATGGGCGAGGCCCAACATACGGTTTGATAACTTCAATCGCTGCCTGTAAAGCTATGGCCCTTGAATAGGTGCAAGCCTTCTAAGTAGGCTTTGGCTGTAGGTAGAAGAGAAAGCTGTTTCACGGACATGCTCCTCTCCAGTTGAGTCACTGTTTACCAATCATCGCAGTAATTATTAACAGGAGTATTAATTCAGGTTTTGTCAGCTCCTTCGTCCAATTATCAGTTTCTCCGTGATACCTTCTTGTCCCTTATAGGTCTGCCGTCAGAGCAAGAATGACCCCCATCGACTTTCGCATGACTCAACCGTCCAAAGCTCCCTTGATTTGAGATCTCTAGCCGTCAATAGTCAGTATCGGCCGGATCAAATCAGGACGGAGCTTGACATTTTCTTCAGATTCCGCGACGACAAGATTCATCAGCCAGCAGATGAATTGTAACAGTTGGTTATGAGCCATCTATTCCGCGTGTTACAAATATGCTGTGAGGCTTTACTCCGTCTGACCAATAAGCTCATAATTTCCATATCCTCAATATGGCCAATGAGAAGGATGGAATAGTATCGAAATGGCAAGGTTCGGACCTGTAGACTTGATGAATATATATACATACGACATGATGGCCCTGATACCCATGATTAGCATCCTGCTTTCACGCATAAATTGTTAATCTTGCGAGGTTCCCAGTTGTCTTCTGCTATCTCCAAAAACTCCACATTTGTTTCACTTTCCCTCGAAGCCTCCACCCATTATATCAACAGTTGCATCCTTACCTGTGTGAAACTAATCGTTAGACGAGAATGGTTATGCAGCTTGATCTCCCCAGTGCCTTGAAGGTATCCGTCGAGTCGTCAAAGGAGTAATACAAACAGCTGGGCAAATCGGGGCTGCAGCAGCCTTAGCGGTTACCTGGGATGAACGTTCTTCAAGCTGTCTAACTCTGTTCTTCAGGTAATCTACTTCATAAGATAATCGACTAGGTGTAGTGGACGGGGCTGTTGAGCTGTTCACGATTGACGATACTGGCCGACCTAGGCTCATCAAACTTCTGCCAAAAGCTGAGGATTCTATAGTAGGCGCCGAATGGCTTGGTTGCTGTGACTTCATAGCCGGCGCAAGATTGGGCTGCAGGGTTTCTGCTAGGTCATTTCCATAGATGCAGGCACTGTTCTTGGATCGCACACAGTTACTACACGGAGTTTGCCGATTACATCGAATTTTGCGTTTTCTGCAAAGAATGCAAGAACTATGTCATCTTTGTTACTTTAAGCGCCATAAAACACCAGTTCCTATTAGCCGTTGTCGCTTGCGTTCTGTGTCACAGATCACTCCCACTTTTATTAAATATTGACCAGGAAAGGCGCTCAAGGAGAATTCCCCGACATCACATTCCCGATATGCACCCAAGTATCCGAAGTTCATGAGGAAGAACGAGGGAGAGTTATCAGATCCGAGCGGCTCTTCGCCCAGTCGGAATTTGCGCTTTTGGTCCGTATTTCTCGCCATTTGCGGGTCATGCATAAGCTTATTGGATGACATGCCCACGGTGCACCATGAGGAGATCAAGGTAGTCTGTTCCAATTCTCTTTAGAGATGCCTCGACGGAATTGAAGATCGCCCGCCGCGAGAGACCTTTGGGCCAATTAGCTTGTAAATGTGGAGGGTTAGCCACGGAGAGGAGCTATCTACGAACTAAATTGATTAACATAGTCTTTACTCTTGGGGAGGTCTCCCCAGTAGGGAGGGATAAACACATCGTCGTGTTCGCTCACAGGGGCCCAGCATTTGCTTATGATAACCAGCTTGTGCCTCGGAATGTCATATTTTCGAATAGCTTTTCCGATCATTTCCTCTGCTCTTCCATTCGAGTACAACCCAGCAGTATCCCACTATCCCCAATAATCAGTATTATGTATTAGAGCTGTGCAGCGTTTCCCTTATAGCGCTGGACCTACTTAGTTAATGCCTCTGTCATACGTCGCCTTCAGCAGCGGGAGTGCTTATCCAGTGGTAAGCATACCCCCAACGGAAATTAAGGGCATTCTTATACAAACGCACCTGCTCGTCATCTTTCACCCCCTCGCTCCACTTTGAGCCCCCTAAGCTCATAGACCCGAAAATCGGAACTGACACCCGCGTCCCCAGGTTCTACCTCAACGTCAACATTAAAAATAGAAACAACATCGTCATCCCTGGTAGGAACTTTCTCGGTTCACCATGAAAGCCGCCCATCTGGTGAAACACCAGAAATCAACCGTGGCCTCGTACATAAAACTCGCCTATTTGGGCAGAACCATTGGGGTAATGGTGCTGTACAGGTCAGTTGTCTCTATCCAACGCATACGGGCGGAGAAACAACGAAAACACATTCTCTTAACGAAGAAATAGATCCTTCGCGAGCTTTTCGAGAGCATCGAGCCACACATACATACAGAATGGATCCAAGCTCACTTCCAACATGCAAAGGTGCAAACTCCCACCAAGGGTAATCAAATCGCAGTGGACACCTCCTTGGCCCGCACCACCAAAGTGGGGTCTGCCCCAGAAAGATGTCGCTGACAAACTTGTGGATTGCTACCTGCGAACGATCGAAACCATATATCATATTCTCCACATTCCTACATCCAAAGAGATTATGAGGAGGTATGGCTAAATGTCGCACCTCCGGACACAGCGTTCCTGGTCCAACTTAAGCTCGTACTCGCCATCGGGGCTACCACATATGACGAAAAATTCTCAATGCGGGCTTCAGCCTTTCGATGGATCTGTGAGGCCCAATCCTGGCTTGCAGAACCGGGGTTTAAAGCAAGACTAAACAAACAGGTTTTGCAGACTAATATTCTGCTTCTCATCGCTCGACAAACGGCAAGCCTTGGTGGCAGTCTGGTCTGGATTTCGGCAGGATCTCTCATTCGGGGCGCAATGCTTCTTGGATTGCATCGGGATCCCACATTTCTCCCAGAAAGCACGGTGTTCGCTATTGAGATGCGCAGGATACTGTGGAACACCATTTTGGAGATAGCTCTGCAATCGAGCATAGACTCTGGGGCGCCTCCTCTCATTTCACTTGGCAGCTTTGATGTTGAACCGCCTCGCAACTTGAACGACGATCAACTGATGGTTGGAGACCCTCTGCCGGCATCAGATGATACTTTTACCCAAATGTCTGTTGCGATCGCCCTTCGTAAAACATTTCCAATTCGCCTGGTGGTCGCAGAATTTTTGAATAATCTATAATCCCGTAGTACATATGAGGAAACTCTTCAACTCGATGCAAAATTGAGGATATCACATAAGGAGTTGTGTCGTGCTCTCCACGGCCTTAAATCAGCCACGGGGTCCTCCCCTCTCGATTCCAAGTCCAAGTAGTAGATTTCATCATGCATCGCAATTTCTCAGCACTTCATATCCCTTTCTTCGTGCCGGCTCTACGCGAGACGACCGATGCGTTATCTGCCTCGCTGAAAATTTGGCACCTGGTGCGGCTTGCTCCTTACGGTGATGAGGCCTCGCCAACAGTAGAAAACGGTCTAGTGCGACTCGCGATTAGTGGGTCCCACTTCTTTCGCGGGAGCGCTTTGCTGGCTAGCCTTACGGCAGCAGCCGAGCTCATGTTCCAGCTGCACGAGGAGACTGGTCTAAGTCCAGCACCATTAAGGCCCGACCTGCTTGCCATAGTCAACGATGCTATAACTTGGTCCTTCCGGTGTATTGAGGCTGGGGAGACCAATATCAAGGGATATCTCTTTACCTGTTTGGTAGCTGAGCGGGTTGACGGGCTCATGAAAGGAACAGAGAAGGACGAGTTTCCAGAGTCATTAATCACGGCAGTTGAAGCTGCTCAGGAAAAGTGCTTGCGGGTCCTGGAGGAAAAGGCGGCCGAGGGTCGGAGAGGCCCAACAGTAGACGTGCCTAACCAAATGGGGTTGGATATACCCGAGGGCACGGAAGACTGGGATATTATAGTAAGTTGGCCGCTAGCTTCATGAGCCAAAACCGTCGATAACAAAATATCAGATGCCAAATGGACGGTTCAATTTGGAAGAGCCCATGAACTGGCTGTTCAATGATGAGACAACACAATGTATGCCAATCTACTAATGAAACTCGAGAGTGCGCAAAGTGTTTTCCGGAGTGGGGGTTATCTGGAATTTAGGGCCTTGCTGTTCTATCTAACTGAATTTATATATGGCAATCAGTTTGGTCAAAAAGAGACATGTAGCTTGGATTTGCGAGTCCCATGATATAACTGATCGCCCCTCTCAACTTGGCTCTGAATCGAATAACTTTAGAGCGGCGTTAAGAGAGGTATAGTAGAGAGAAAAGGCTTGTGTAACAATTATAACCCTGATTACACTCACGGATTTTGCGGGGATTTGCGAAACCAAGTACTGTTCCAAATAAACAGAGAGCGGGAGAGACCGATTCTATTACATGTAGATATTGTACAGGTAGATATTGTTCTCCACTCCCCTGTTCCATTTCATTAGATAAAGCACGAAAAAGGGTTAATATGGTACAATAAACATTTCACTCACTGGCCAAACGTAGCTTCTTTCAAGCTTGAGTTTTAGATATAGAGCAACCCAAAAGTCAAGAAGGTGGCCAAAATGCAGAAAGAATAGCGGAGTTCTTTGCAGGTAGTCAGAAATTTAAACTGATGGCAAAGTAGGTGGAATCAGTGATCTAATAAAAATAGGTGGTAAGACAATGGAATGAAATGGTGTAGGGAATCGGTGAATGTATAATAGTCAAAATTTGAAAAGGGTATATAAAACCGAGAACGGGGCAGGATAGAGGTATATAAAACAAGAATGGGAAATCCAACCACTAAACATTCCAAAGGAAAATCTCAAATAAATTATGAATGACGAAGAAAATGAAATAGAGCCGGATGTAGCATGTGCATCAAAAGACCAAGGTCAAAGAAGGGGTTAGTTTATATAGCGAATAAGGATACAGTCTACCAATGAAGAGGCAAAAAGGATGGGGGTAAAATAACGAAATATAGCCTCAAATGGAAATAAAAACAACACCGGGGAATATTAATTTTACCAAACATGTAAGGAAAATGGATGTAGAAATGTGTCTTGGAAAGGGGTAGATATATGGAACGATGAGCGGAGTGTAAGGGTATGAGAGGAGCATGAGAAACGCCCAAAAGGCAAAACTGCATGAAACAACGAAAATGATATGTAAGTTACCGTTACGGGTAATCCAACACATCAATATAGAGGGAATAGCTAAGTCGGAAGCTCTCTCTTGGGATAGGGCGTCCGTCCATCTCGTATCACCTCTGGCGTCGCTTGGTTCTGTTTAGGCCGGGCAGCCGCGACTTGCGGTATCTCGAAAATCGCAGGTATGCCAGGCACGACGCGAGTCATTCCTCCCCAACCGTAGTTTTGGATTCGGTAATAATAGTAGAATCCTTCGTAGGCGGCCTGTCCGCAGTGGAGACAGCCTCGTTGAGAGTTGCAGCTTGCAACGCGTCGTCGCCATGGCCAGAGGAGCCGGGCTTCTCAGCTAGAGATGATGAACGAGGAGGATGCGTAGTCTCGGCGCCAGCTGGCTGTTCTGTCGGGTGGAATGGAGGGTACTTCGGTTCGTGGATATCTGCTGCGGGGAGAAGCTGTGGCTCTTTGGTTGGCTGTACACTGATGTTTTGTACTTGTCCGAATTCGAGGGATCCCCTTGGGTCTAGATCAGACGGCGAAATTGGTCCTGGATCAGTGTTAATAGTAGGGGCATCATCAGTGGAGCTTCTGCAGTCCATGAATGCCCCGCTAGCCTCGTCAGCAGTGTCGAATGTATCCACTTCTTCGATGTCCTCATCATCACAATCGAACGGAATTTCATCCTCTTCTTCTTCGATAATTTGGCTTTTCCTTGCGCCGGAGCCGACGGTTTGAGCCCCAGCGCTCGTACCGATTACATTTTCCCTTGATTTAGGTAACCCCGGAGTGCCAGGGCCGCTTGCAGCGGGGAAGGCAGATGTGGCAAGGGATGGACCCTTAAAAGCTGATCGTTTTCGGCGAGCAAAAACAAGGCCTGATGCTGGTGATGAAAGGATGGAACCTGGAGCAGCTTCGTTGTAGGCGTTATAAGCTGCCCCTTTATGATGACCGGACCCAGCAACCGTTGAAGGTCCACCACCTCGAATAAGCCTGATATTACTTGGGAAGGGGGTGCTTGAGCTTGGAGTTGCGGGTAGAACTTTCACTGATGGGTGCGGGGATCGGGTAATCGTCTGCCTGGCAGAGGCAATGGGTGTTGATACCGTGTTGGTACTATTCGAGGATATGGATGAGGTCTTGGAGTGCGAATGTGCATGATGAATACTCCGAATGGAGGAGACAGACGAAGAAGTAGATTTTCGCCCACGTAGGCCCACAGATGAACGACGATATGAGTTGCGAGGGGTAAGGGGCGAAGGGGATAAGGAATTACGTTTATGAGTAATACTCGCGGTGCTAAGTGGTCGGGGCTGGTGGGACAGGGAGCCAGAACGGGCAGCCCCTGGATAGGAGGCATTGCTTGGAGTAAGGCTGCTTGCGGTAGATGAACGTTTCATTTGGATTGGAGTTTGTTGTGTTCGGTTAAACGCCGTGGTGGTAGGTGTTGTTTGGGCTGGTCTGGAGGCAGGTTCCTTATTTTTAGGAGGACTTGATTTGTCTGTGAGAAACTTGAGCGAAGGTGCATGAGAGAATGACTTCGAATGAGGCGACTTGGCTCGTTTTGTGGATTCAATTAGCCAATGTTTAATAGATGCGAGCTGGCTGATTATAGGGTGATGTCGGCGACGTGTGCCATGTCGTCTCAAGATGCTCTGCGGATGCGATAAATCAGGCTGAGACGCACTGAGGTGCAGTGTACTGGTACGTGATCTGCGATTTTCTTTCGGGGGGGGCACTGGACGGTGACGTGATGAGCTACCTGATCGGACAGAGGGATCTTTCTCGATGGGAGGCGACGGAAGGACCGAGACTGGGGACGAGACAATGGCGGTTTCTGGTAGCTTAGGAAGGTCGGGAACAATGATTTGAGCTGCATCATGTTAGAGTTCATCACCGCTGGATATTCATGGGGGAGGTGTGCTACACTCACGGGTTGGTATGCTTCTCCTATCTCTCCTACCCCTACTTCTCGGCGATTTGGTAGAATGCCCTTCCTCATCAACCTCGACAAGTGCAGCTGATATTCGTTCGAGTCGGGTACTGGCGGCACTCAATCGACGTAAATTTTTCGCTTCAGCCTCCCTCTCGCGCCTTTTGCGCTCTCTTCTCTTTTCCTTCCTTTCCTCCTTCTCTATTAGGAGCGCCCACCAGCCAGCGAGCGCATCACATCGCTGCGCAAGTACGCTTTCAATTACCTGATCAATATTTACTCCTGCACTTCTCATCCGCTCTAGGGTTGTTCTTTCCAGCGGGGTCGAGAACGGGGCTGGTCGAGCTAATTTCAAGATCGCTTGTTGCTGCGGGGAATGCTCAGCCAGAAACGAATGATTCAGGACATCGGACAAGGTAGGCCGGAGAAGCGGACGCTTCGATAGTAACAGACTTATTAGTGACTTTGCATCCTCCGGAAACCGCTCATTATACTTAGGCTCCTCCGTCAAAATCCTTTTTTTAGTGATCTGGTCGTCGTCATCGTCGAAAGGCAACTCTCCCGCAATAAGAGCATAGAGAATTATCCCCAAACTCCAAACATCCACCTTTTCCCCGGCGTACTTCTCACCCTTCAGCATTTCCGGCGCGCTGTAGCACACCGTCCCGCAGAATGTTTGCAGGTAGCTCGCCTTTCCTTCATATTCCCTCGTGAAACCGAAATCGCATAATTTGACATTTTCATGCTTGTCGAGCAGAATGTTCTCCAGCTTCAAATCACGGTGTACACACGATTTACTGTGGACGTAGCAAACAGCCCCGACAAGCTGTGTGAATATCCGCTGGACCTTCTCGAGCGGCATCGGTCCATTGCAGCTAAGATAGTTATACAGTTCATCACCCGGACAATATTCCAAAGCCAACCAAACAAGATTTTCCGTCACGATCACTTCGTACAATCGAGCTATATGCGGATGGAGAAATTGGCGATGGTGGTGGATCTCGCGCGCGAGGTTCGCATCTTCCCGACTCGATGACTTGAGAACAACCTGTAAATACCCACCGCGGCCATGTCAGTTTTCGATGCGCCACTACAACCAGGCAGAAGGGAGAGAAGATATTATATCCGCAGTACCTTGGAGCCATTCGTAAGCTTATGCGTCGCAAGATAAACTTTGCCAAAGGAGCCTTTCCCGATCAACTTCCCGAGGTTGTAGTTACCGACATTTCGCAAATCCTTCGACGAGAATTCTCTGTGTAGCGAAGAGTAGGAAATCAATATAAATTCATAGATAGGAATGGCAGCGGTATAATGCAGGAAGCAAGATTCATGTGGACGAAGGGGGTGAATTACTGCAATAACTCTCGGTAGGAGTTGACGAGCTATGCGGCATCGAGAGAAGAAAAAGTTAGCCAAACCACCATTTCCGCCAGAGCGACTAACAGAACATGTAATAATCAATCCATGCGCAAACACACCTTATCCTTTTGAAGCTGGGACTCGAGCTTCGACTTGGGGGGCGGCATGTGTGAGGATTGGAGTCGCTGATTAATGTGATGCTGCCCCTCGCGTTGATCTTCTCATTGCTTGCGAATAGTCAAAACACCGCAGGTCAGCCATATAACGGAATGGGTTCGATGTCAGGACTTCAGGAGATTTGGTAAGATGGAGGACATCGACTGTTGTGGAGTCAGAGAAGTCTGAGATAACTTGGAAGGTCTGTGGTGGCTGCTTTTTAAGCCCGACCGATACTGGAATGATTTAACGAGGTTAGGTTCGTCGCGGGCGGATAAAGTTGGCGGAAGAGCGACGATCATCCCTTGAAGCCTCTTTTGGGCAATTATTTAAGTTAAGGACAACGACCACAACGACCAACAACGAACCACAACGCCAGAAGCTTCAGGCTACAACGAGAAGCAACGACGATGCCGTACGGACAAGTACACCTGTTAATTAGCCGTTCCAGTTGCTGTCTACGGCTGGAAATGGTTACCACTGACCCTTAGCCATCGAGGACGCCGCTTGAGACGTGGTTCGATATCTACGCGGCAGTCTATCACGGCCCTATGCTGTATATTGCCATACGGCGCGTGTCTTTGCATACTTGTCAGTTACCCATTACTCACCCATTATTAGTTACTATTGACTGAATGAATTGTGGCAAGAAACTAAGAACCGGTTTTGTTTTGACCAATGTTGAAAAACGTGGTCAAGAAACGGGCTATGCCCTGGGCAGATTTGAATTCCGGGAGATGGAACAAGAGCGCTGCGGAACCCTTGAGAACAGCAGCGGGAAACACACTTAAAAGGGCTGCTTCAAATACTACTGAAATACGAGGAGCAGGAAACCGCGAACGGAAATCATAATTACCATTCTTCCATTTACGCAGTGTCCAATGGGCTTCCATGGATCCTTCTTTGAAGATCTGTCTCCCCAAGTTCCAGCGACAATAAATTACACCTTTGAGGGATGATGCCTTGTATCGAGGACTCTCTTGGAAGAATGGGCGGAAGAATAATTATGTCTGAAAAATATCCCCAGTTATTCACTCTCAAGATTGCGGATCCAGTTCGCCAAGGCACCAACAAACCTGGTTCCAGGGTTATTTATTTTAGCCCTTGTCCAGGAACTCATATCCACGCTAGTCCGTGATCTCGGAATTTAAGAGAGGATGGGGTGGTTATGCCGAAAGACATTTACAAATGCGAAGCTAGTTACCCGTCTTTTGGGACCCCGTGTCGAAAAATATCCTTCCTCCCAGTGATACAAGCTATATACTCATGCGGATGCAAATGGACGTCCTTGTTAGTTGCTTACCACCACTATCTTATTATCGTCCAGATTTGATCCTAAACGAAAACATCAGACGGAAATGAAAAGCCCGGAACCCACATATGGCGACGGGATAAGAACATCTTTGTCACACACTCCGAATATGTTGCTGAGAAGGCAGCGCGTAAGATATTCTTATCTATTTTTTGATATTCCGACCCTAGATTACGAATGGTCAAACTTCGTCCGGCTCATCCACAAAGTGTCGTAGGAAAAGTATACTGAGCGTTCAAGTTCATATTGTCCTCCGACAATAACGTCCCCACTCGTTGGACTAAAAGGCAAGACAGCCACACGAAGTCAAGGACTGCTGCCCGCAAATGATACCCCTTATTGTTCTTGTTTCACAGGCGGTGGAAACGCAATAGATCGCCAATTCAAAAGGACATCAGCAACCCACGCCTCGCAGCAATCGAACCGACCTGTGCACTGATTTTGTCAGCTCCCTCGACAGTGGAAATCCAGTGGCCCAGTTACAGTTGGAAGAGCGGAAGGCTGGGTAAACCGATCCAACCTGAAACAGACAAATAGCAGAACTTGACTCCACCCGCCAATCAAGTACAACCTCCTTCCTCATCGCTGATAACATCAATTACAACATCATTCTACCTTGGCATTAGACCAGGCCACTGAAAATAGCCCTTGGTCGTGAACGGAAAAATGTCAGTGCAACCTCGCTTCCTACAAGGCTTGGAACCGAATGCCTCTTTGACCCCCATATCAACGGTATCCCTAGTCGCCTAAGGCTAGGTGAAGACAGACCAAGCACATTACACTACAACAGTCATCCGTTTTACCACGGAGGCCGAAATAATATCTTCTTTCACTCCTATCGCGCTCACAGGGTGCTTGGCGTTCAGTTCAATCCCATCACGACGTGCTTAAGTACAATTTAGTGCGGTGCTCAGTATAGCATAAAATCAGGAAATGGAATAGGAGAAGAATAGATGGAAGACGAAGAGCAGTGTTAATACTGAACAAATAGTGAATCCGACCCTGGCATAACCTTTCTTCTGAAGAGGGCAGCCCACATGGTGGTTTCTTCTGAACTCCCCATGTGGACTGATATAACTAAAACTTGTCAACTGGGAAGATTTGAGATGCCACGAGCCAAGACACTTTCTTGGATGGTCTTCCCACGTGGGCGCCAAGGATGGGTACAAAATGAGAAGCCAGCGCTGAAAGTCCTTCATGAGCTTCCCACGTAGTCCCGCTTTCCGATATCAACGTTCACGTACTCTAATGGCCGCCTTGGATTGCTTCTCTTTTCTGCTGCTATCCATTTGTCACAAATCCGTTATTTTTCTTCTTTTTCCGATGGGAGCGTGCAGTCCAAGACCTGAAAGAACAGCTTGTCAGAAAAAACCCCTTTCGGTCTTTGTACCTGGGGAAGCAATATGGCATGCCACTTACTTATTATAGAAAATATCCACGTCAACGCGAGTTACCGTCTACCAATTATCCATATTTCTTAGCTCTCCCATGATCCGATATGCTCCTAGCGGCATGCATATGCATCTTCGCTACCTCAACCCTCCTCAGTGTTGAAAATTAGCCTCACCAATTTGGCCATCAGCCTTGCGCTTCCGTCTACCCCGCCTCGAAATGCGGCCCAACCGCTCCGCCTTCAACGCTGTCATTCATGATACAGTTCGGGTTTTCCATCTTTCTCCACAGAGATATATTCCAGACATTTGTCAACACCTTACAGCATTATAATGGAGCCATTATCTTTGGCAGTCGGCTTTGCTGGTTTAGCAGGGCTTTTTTCGACCTGCGTTGACTGTTTTAAACTAGTCCAAGTTTATGATTCACGCGCTTCAGATTATGAGGTATTGCAGACAATGCTTGACAACCAACAATTCCACTTTATGGCCTGGGGCAAGGCGTGTGGTTTCATGCATCCATATCGTACAAACTCCAAGTATGAAACCACCACAATCATAGAGGAGGTATTTCTCTCTGGAGTAGTCTAACAGCCGTTGCAACCACAGGTTCGACGATCCAACCTCTTCTCTTCGTAACGAGCGAATAGAGCAGACAATGGAAAAGATCAAGTCTCTACTTACGAACGGTGACCACTTGAAAGAGATTTACGGGCTCAAAGTCCAACGACCACCGCTAGGGTCGAAATTTACCGAGGCCGCATCGTCTAGTGCTTTCTCCCGAGCTTTCCAGAATACGAAAGCTTTCTGCAATACAAGCCTGCAGCGAAGGGTCCATATCATTGGCTCTATTCGATGGGCTGTGAGCGATCGGGATAAATTCGACCGGCTCGTGCAGAACATAAAGGATCTACTTGGAGACCTGACAAAGTTCACTGAAGATATCGGGGTCACCGAGTCTCAACACCTAATCGTTGAGTACGAAATAGAAATGATTGACGACGAGTCCAGCCTGGCAGTAATTGCAGCAGCCAGTGCCTGTGATGGTGATGATGACGTCCTCTCCCAGGTTGCTAGTCGCAGGCTCCAGATGGTAAAGGAACAGTCCGTTGCCAATCAATCAGTGAGATTCGATGATAGCGTTTCAATGGCTTCCGCTCAGTATTACACTCCTTCTATGAGCACACTTATCGAAGATGAGGATCATACCGTTATACAGGAAATCGGTGTTACCCGGGTGCCAATATCGGAATGGCGTAAAATGAAAACCCGCACCGGGATAATCCCGTGGCTGAAAATACTTGTCGTTGCAACGAGCTCATCAGCTGATGGGGTAGAGATGCGAGACTATATCCAACCGCTGTCGAGAACAAACACTCTTAGCGGGAGCGTGGAACCCGTTGCGCGTGAGGGGCTGCTCCGAATAGCAATCAACTCGCATACCCTTCTAGTGTCCTGAAGAGAATAACACGTTGTAACCTCACACCAAAACACAATGTGCTGGTTTATCCCTTCAAACCCCTTATTCTCTCTTATGATTCCCTCCGGAATTACCTAACAGTCATGCGCGACAAACTTGGCACCCTACGTAAGCCTGATGACGCTCACACGCCGGAAGAGACTGCTGGATGTGTCCCCGATCAGCCGAAGCCAGCTCCAGAGAATTCACCTTCGAAGCACTCTACGGCAGAGCAGGCTAGAAGAGCATTTGAAGAACTAGAATGCTTGATGAATTTTGTTGACAATGATATGCAGGAACTATTGCATATACGGCGTCAGATTAGAGAGAACGAATTGCAGAAAATTCATTTCGAGCACCTCTGGCTGTTGTTTCAGCCAGGTGTAATTGTCATCTCCCCAAATACTACTTCCAAACTGAGGGCCTACCAAGTGCTTCACGTGACTGGCGGACGCCGAATCATCGATACCGATAACCATTCCAAGAGCGAAGGCCCGGATAGCCTCGACAACATGGATTACGATAATCAAGAAGGATACGCTGTCATCTCATCACGCCAATGTAGCGACTTTTTTGTTGACTGTTTTTATATAGACTTCAACGGAGAAAGGTATGGGCCGAGACCGCAACGGTTCGTTATCTCTGAGTTTGTTGGCGAACGCCGTATTTCATCTTTGCCTATCTATCCTCCCAACCAGACTCAGGTCAATGAACACATTCTGGATCGTCTAAGAGAGCGAGGTCGGAAGTTTGTGCATTGTACCACAAGAAAAAGGCTCCTTTACAATGGAGCCATATTACAAGAGTGGGACCCTGGTCACAGAGACACTTGTGGGGTTTGCGCTGGAAACTACGTAGGCCAAGAGCAGGTAAGCAACACTTCATTTGAGCCAACCCAACTGTATCTCGATTAATTAAATCGTGTCATGTAGCGAAGCAGTGAAGTTATCATCGACCACGTCGCCGCCCTTGAACACTGTAAGCAGTCCGGCTGTACCTGGAATCCGTCGTTCGGGGGAAGCGTGATTGCAAAAGCCACCAAGGCCAACAGAAGAGAATCTTTCGAGACCATAGACTGTTCGATACCTAACTGCAGAGCGTGCACCGACGTCTTTGATGATGGGGTGGGCGACCTAAATTCCCGAGATCAGTTTATTCGCTCTTCTAGAAGCTTAAGGGCACTCCGTCAACATGAGCTAGAGGACGAACAGATCCTTCTACTACCGAACCGAATATGTGGATATTCTTTGCAAAGTAATAAGTGGTACCCACTTTATGTCTATCTCCTCATGTCAACTGAAGCACCGTCCGTCGGCCTAAACGAAATCATCCTTCCTGCTGGCCACAAGGAAATGCTTACCTCGTTAGTCAGGGGCCAGTCTCCTGGAACCCGTGGAATTCAAGATAATTTACCCGATCATCAAGACATCGTCGTTGGCAGGCGCCGTGGTGTCGTTATTTTGCTACATGGAACTCCAGGAACAGGAAAGACAGCCACGGCAGAAGCACTTGCTGCTAGTCTCGATAAACCACTTTTCTTGATCAGAGTTGCAGCCCTTCGGGGTACATCACGAGAGATGGAACAGTATTTGACTCAATCTTTTCATCTAGCAGAGCGATGGGATTGTATCATATTGGTACGCGAGGCAGATGCTCTCCTAAAATCACGTACCTTCGCAGACCATGAAGGGAACACTATGACTTCAGGTGTGTTTTTCCGTAATTACTTTTGCAGCTGTAGCTGACGAGCCCAGTCTTCCTCGATGCACTCGAGTATTTCTCGGGAATCCTTATTTTTAAGACTAACCGAGTCGGCCAATTCGACGAGGCCATCACATCCCGTCTTCATCTTTCACTTCATTATCCCCAATTAAACATTGCCACCACAATGGAGCTTTGGAAGCTATATCTCAAGCCTCTGCGTCGCAATCCGCACCTTATAGTTGACGAGAGTGCCATCCTTGCCCTTGCGGAATCTATGCATAGGCGATTACGATGCAATGGCCGGCAGATCAAAAATATTGTTGATACTTCCGTAACCATCGCGCAAGAGGACGCAGAACGATCCAACGAAGAAACAGTGGAGCTGAGTGACAAACATGTTGAAATTGTCTTCAGATCAAACCAGATATTCCGTGAATATGTAACAGGTATTCATGACAACAATGAACCGCTCCATGCTCTGGCAGGAGAGCCGCCTCTACCCGAGAGCGAAATCAGATCTGCATCAACTTTTAATCAGCCGAACAAGACACAACAGATCAGAAGGCCAGACGCACGAGCTTCTACCAGTCTTTCCTTCATCGTTGACGAGTATCCTTAATATAGAATGTATGCTAGGTAGGGGATGAAACAGCGAGCGAGGGGTTTAAAAAGATAGAGCCTGGTTGCACATTTTTAGCTGAAAGATGACATAAAATACTACAGCGTCAAGCGAACGGTTTATAACCTCCATACCTCGGCAGGGAGTCAGATGCGAAATCCAGATTGAAGCCCACACACTACGTTCCTTGGCCCGTTTGTCAACGCAGCAAGGAAGGACAGGGCTGTTCTTGTAGAACCATTATTTGGAACGCAACCACGTAAGGATAAGGGAATGTAGGATTTTCTGTATTTATTTAAAAAGAAAACTACAATAACCCCAATTTTGCTATTTCTATTTCATTGATTTTAGGGAATTTTATCAGAAGCAGAAGTTGCTCTGTTCGTGACCAAGAATTTATGACGGCAGCATAGTTCTGGAAAATTCCCGCTTAGTACGGTACGATATGACAAGCATATATATATACTCAGGCTAAATATCCAAGCAAACACATCCATCTGTTTCGTCGAGCCTCTGTACTCAATTCAATTCATATGATGAACCGAATCTACAGAACGAATATATATACATCGATCAAAATCTAGATGGAGCAAGCCATAGTATAGAATACAAAAATCTTGTGAAGTTGCACCGGACTGTATTGAATTCTAAAACCCAACTTCGAAACCAAACCGCCCGTTGGAAACGGTGAATTCTCTAAGAGTTTGCCAAAAATGACATTTTCCTCATTCTTACAAACCTGATGTAATATAGTAACAAGGTACCTGTTCTCTCGCGACCGGAGAGCCATAACTAACTGGCGCTCTGCTAGGACCTCAAACTAACAATTCTATGGTCGCCCAAGCTAGCAAGTAGTTATACCTAATGCATATATTCGTATCGTCATTAATCTATGGAATTTATTTCACTAATGGAAATATCGAACGCCTTAGTTATCGCCGTCCCGATAGTACCCATTCATTCGGAATCTTTTCACACCCGTTGAAGAACTTGGGTCTCGCAAATCCCACCCTCTCTCAAAGCTTCTTACCCGTGCAGTGTTTAAATGGCTACAAGTCCTATTCGATGTTCCCGTTTCGTGGGGGCCCAATCTGTGTTTTTAACAGGGAACAGAAAAAAAATTATTTCCCCGCCCGCCTATTTTTTGGATTCCACGCCAGTCCACCAAGTGAGAGACTCCAGGTGCTGGCGTGCTCGTTTGCTAGTGCAGAATGTTGGATCGACGCTGGCAATCCCGGCTTCGCCAAGAAGACCAAGGCTTGCTAATGCAAGGTAGGAATGGAGGAGATCTATACGGAGGGTCAATTCCCCTTCCAACATGCAAGACAGAATTAAAAAGAGGCAAATCTAGGGTAATGATGGCTAAGTATCACACACCTGGCGGATCGCCGACACACTTTCCGAATCCCCCTATGATATGCTGCGTTTTCTCAAGGAGATAGCGACGACCCGCTTCTGCGTTGATAACATTAAGACTGTCCAGAATCTAACACAACCATCAGCCGGCGAGACACACAAAACAAAAATCGGTTATAATTATAGCGCAGGGAGGGATATTTATTTACACCCAGTGTTCCAGTTACCCAGAATGAGTAACATGTGTCGGCTATTTTGTTCGATCTACCATTGAATCCAGCCAAATGGAGATGCTCACTTGGCCGCTGAGGGGGAGATAGTATATCTGGGAGTGCAGATATTTGTTCATCTATTGATCTATCCACCCCAGGAGTTATGTGCTTCTCAGAGCCACTTTCGCCTTCGTCAACCTCTTCAAGGTCTGCCGTCTGCCGCCATGCTAGCCAACGGATCAAGTCTTCGAATTTTGCCGTTTTAACGGAGAGGAACGGTATACTATGGCTGACGGCAGGCGGTGTGCAACCAAGGAATGAAAGCGAGGCGAGGGCACAGTACGTCAGACCAGCTATGACAAATGTAAGTTTGGGGGTTGGTTATCATACAAACAGAGCAGTGCGGTATGTTGCGTACCATGCGATTCGGTCATTGGTGACACTGAAAACCCTCCATCATATGACTTTCATTTGTTGATTTCTAGTCAGCCCGGCACGCTCGTTTTGTATAGAGTGAAAGGGGGGAGACCAAAATCACCTGACAATCTTCAATATGAGAGATGAGACGGTTAGTATTGATGTCTTCAATATCCTTAAGATAATCCGCGTCTTTCCCCCGTAATATATATCGTACACCAGCCGCACAGCAACAAAACCGTAAGTCATTGCTTCCCTCAATCTGTCCTCCGGGCCCCAAAATCTCTCCAAAACTCCCATCCTCCCGTTGTATGTTGCGTAGCCACAGTAAACATTCTCTCCGTTTAACACGGGTCAAGTCGTCACCCAGCACAATCAAAGCCATGAGCGCAAAGAACGTGGCGGGAACATTCGCGGGATCCCAACATTCATTTTCATCAGTCCTCTTAGAATCCCCGAAGATCGTCCCTGGGAATCCCCGAAAGCCACCAGAGGGTACCTGGCAATGGTATATCCAGTAAATGTAGCCCTTGCGTTCTGCCAGGGAGAGGTTGTCGTCCAGCGCGTCAAGCAGATCAAGGCCAGCGAGGCTGAAAAAGGCCAGGGTCATTCGACTTGAGTCATTGGAAGTATACTGATGCGGAAGAAACGTTTTCAGACATCGAAGGAAGTATTTGATCTGGCGATCTTTTCGGAGAGCGGCAACTTCTGCCATTTGATAACGGCAGACGGGGAGAGACAGTCGACCCTCTGCCCTCTTGATTCTAAAACGCTTTGTTAGCAGTAAGGGGTAAAATGTCAGGTCTAGCGACAATTCATTGAGCAATTGTTATTCAAGCTGTGACAAAGCGTATCTAAGCCATAACTCGCAACGACAAAGACAAAGGCATGTCGAGAGGTGGTTGTATAAGCGCTTGTTCAGTCCTTCCATTGTCGCGGGGCGGAGTTTTGGATCTGGTGCCTGACCCTCTTAGTCAGCAAACATCGTGCCCTGGTGGTTAATAAACTCTAAAAGTTATATATTTTGATTGATCAACACCGGATATCTCATCCACCACACAGCTCCAGTCAACAGGCATGGTCCCTGGACTTGTTTCCAACACTCGAAGCACACCGCGGGAAATTGTAGCTTTCTTCGGGAGAGCTACAGGTTAGTGCTTCACCATGGGCCGGCTATCGTCAAAAGGCTACATCAAGCTGCACGCTCTCTTCCAGTTCGCCCTCGCTATCTACCTCACTCGCTACAAGGAAGTCATCTCGGACTGCGACCTCGTATACAATGTTAATGATGTTATTCGGATCGTGAGTATTCCTGTTGTTGGCTAATCAACATCTCCTTCTCTCGACCACATATGACAAGAACAAAATTACAACCATCGTTTTCATGACCCCAGCCCAACAGACCCCGCTAACAGCTATCCCAATGACTCGATGATTCCAGGATGCGACACCGACGTTTGCCCGTCCTCGCTCTCCGTTTGCCTACTGCGGCGTTATCCTGCTTGTCTTCGCTCTTTTCGACCTAATATTAACCATACGGCTACCTTTAATCAACCAACTAATCTCTATAACGAGGCGCCTTTTCGATTCCCGATTAGCAAATAGCTCCGGCCGCTCCCGCACTTCCCGCACCTCCCGCACCTCTCCCTCCTCCCCCTCTTCCCCAGCATTATCCACCGCCAAAAAGATGCTCAGAATCTACAACTCCATCTTTACGCATATGTGCATCCTTCTTGCCGTAACCAGATGCCTAGTTTTCTCCATCATATCAATACGAATCTACGCTTCTGCGACTGATATTTGGGTGCCGGCTGCTGCTGCCTCCGGGATGCAGGATACCGCTGCGCTAGACGCGAAAGCCATCCATATGAAAAACAAGGTGGTGCTGGGATATGCGGTGATAGAGATGATGATTTCCTCTTCTGTAAGTAAACATATATATATATATATATATATTTCATTCCGTGTAGCTCACTCTTTATTTACGCTGTTTACCAGACACTCCTCTCCCTCAAAGATGAGCGCCGCCAAGTGGACTCAGTCCTATTATTCGGACCCCTCCTCCCTTCACGATTTCTATAAGAATAGTTTTATACATATGGCGGTTTCGTGTCGTAATGCGACCACACACTACCGATAGGTACATAATGGGGACCTTGTTTAGTCAACCGACGAAGGACGAAGTAAACTGAGGAGGTTTTTCTTGCCTGCAGCGCAGAATATTTTCCACTTCTCTGGCTGGAGAGTTTGGGGTACAGTACAAAGAGAAAAAAGCCGAGTCCCGAAACAAGGGGTTTCTTCTATTTCACTCGTATACCCCTTTGGGGTTTTTTTTTTTTTTTTTCTTTTTGCTTTCTTCTTTTCTTTCTTTTAAATGTGTGCCTGTTCCTTTTGGGTTTTTCCTGTCTCATTTTCAAAGAGAAAGAAAGGCTTTGGAAGAAAGCTATGTACATGTACTGTACATTGTGGTTCTGTGTCACCCAACAAAAAATGAAACGAAGCGATTCATAGCATAGGATGTTAATAAGGTTGTTGGGGGAGCATTTGCGTAAAATAGATTATTTAGGTAATAATGTATTTTTAGGCGGTTCAGGTTTTATCCTTCTTGTGTGGAAGGTGTAAAGCTTGTGTGATTGAAAGGTTGCTAGCTTGTGGAAAGTTATGTTGACCCTTACGGCCGTTGCGGTTAGCGATCCCACTAGATCACGTGACCCACCACTATATTATGTTCCTGTAGATAGATCTATCAATACAACCTTCAACTATTCTACAGATTATAGCCTGAATGACATGTTTTTCTTTTTAGAATATTACATCAACATTTTTAACATGAATAGTTCATCTTTTTTGAAAAGACTCTTACTCTTTATTAGAGATATTTCATTTTCTCTAAATCTATCAGTCAGTAGATTTATATACTTTATATTTTTTTAAGAAAGTACATTCTTCATTGTGAAGAATATCACTTTTTTATTTTTTTTTTTACACATTTAGAAGAAGCAGAGTCATCTCAATATGAGTAATATATCTATTACTTCAGAGTTCAGCTCAAGACTCAGAATCACATACTTTACTAGATAACTTATTAATAGAATAATCACTTATTATAAGAAAGCTTCTGACTTACAAGATAAGACTGAGATTAGTTTTCATCAGAGTATGAAATTTAATAATGATGAGATAATGAAGAAACTTCAGAATAAAGAAAAGCAGAGTTAATATTTATCTACAGAATCTATTTATTTCAACTCTTTGAATTCTTCATCTGTAAGAATAAGTGCTCACAGGTGATTATTCAGGTATTTACAGCTTGATATGATATGTACTGTTAACTACTAGAAGTGTTTATAATAGAAAGATAAAATATAGAGATTAAATGTATAATAGTATTTAAGCTAAGTTATAAATAGTATTCATAAACTTCAGTCTATATAGTTGTATGTAGTCAAGAGTCACTAGCTCTATTAATTATATAAGAGATAGAAATAAGAGTAAAGAATTTATAAGAAGTGAGATTTCTTACATATCTCTCTCTCTCTAAGACTTTATTCATGAAGTCTTTCACTGAGTGACTTTATAGTCAGCTTAACACTGCAGTGATACTCACTAAAAACTTTTTACATCTATAAAAAATCTCAGTGAGGAAAAATTTCTTATCACTGTAAAGAGAAAAGAGTCTGTTACTCAGTTTCTTATTCTGTAAGATTTTTTATAATTTACAGATTCTTCTCTAACTATTATACAGATTCATCTCATATCTTTTATACAGAAGAATTTCAGTTAACTCTTAATTATTTTCATAAGATTCTTATATAACTATTATACAGATTTATCTTACAGATGAATCACTCTTTATAAAATTATTCTTATTAAAGAGAAATATTTATAAGTTAATCTTTCACTTATTCTTATAAATCATTATTCTTTGACACTGTAGAATTATAAGAAATTTTTCATTCTTTTATTAACTCTGTAGAATTGTAGAATTAAGATATTCACAGTCTGTAATTACTCTTTATAGTTATATAGAAAGATTCAGATCTGTGATTCATAATTACTCTTATTTACTAGAGTGATCTAACTGTTCTGTGAAATCACTCATAGTGTAAGTAAATCTCTCTAAAGTAGTATAAATATCTCAGATCTGTCTGCAGAATCTTATCTTCTTTTCTCTTTTTCTATAACAGCTTTCATTCTTATAAACTGTGAGTATCTTCATTCATCTGTGAAGTGTTTTCACTCAGATAATAGAGAGAGAGTGTTTCTAACAATATCTGTATATTAATTCAAGAACTTCTCAAGAATAAAAATTTTTTAATTTTAATATCTTTATAACAATGTCTGACTACTGTTAAGCTTCTTGTAAGCATCTCTGTAACTTCTCTGATTGCTTTTTACTGACTGATAAAGCAGAAATACTGCTATTCATAACTGTATCTTTATCTCTCTCAGCTCTGTCATTACATCTGATCTTCAGATCAGTAATTAATTCTCTATCTTCTTCAGATCAGTCTTTAACTTTAAGCAGTGTAGTCTCTCTCTTTGCTATAAGTCTTCTTATAAGTAATTTCTTACAGATTCTAGTTAACAGTTCTTATAAAGCTCTCTGTATTATCAGTGTCTTCTGTAACTCTGTAGATCTATGATCATTCTCTTTCTATCTGTACAATCACTGATCAGATATATGTGAATATGTCTAGATTCTCTATCAATGATTCTCACACTGCTGCATATTTCTGCAATCTTATTATCAATGAGAGATAGATCTCTGAGTACCTGTAAAATCCAGATAATTAAGGTAATGTGAATATTATAAATTCATAACAGAAGTTAATCTGAGCAGATGAGCTCTCTCTTTACATCTTAATTATTTCTGAGCTAAATACTTCAGTATAACTGAGAGAGTAGATACAGCTTCATAAGAGATATCTGATCATATACACAGACAGTCAGCTCTCAAGATTCTGCTGTAACTGTACATACTCTGATATTCAGCTTCTCTGAAGTCTGTATATTTCTGATGATCTTTATATTAAATACAACAATTGTCTGTATCACAGATATAATACTCTCTACTTCTTTAAAGAGAGAAATTGATAGTTGTAAGAGAATTGAGTATCACAGATATTAAGAATATGAATTTAAGTTTTCTTTATTTTTTCTTTATTAATCTTTAAATTATATTTGTGACTCTGTTTATTTTCTTGTTTTTTAGTTTTAATAAAAATATGATTTCTTCTTTTCTTATATACACTGCAGACTGTTCATCTCAGTAGAAACTTATTATCTTATAGATTAGAGTTTATAAATGACAGTGTTAATATCTTTATCACAATCAGATTCTTAGTGAAGATTACATTATTCTAACTTATTAGAATTCACAGTATAAAAGTTATGTCTTAGCTTCTGCAGATGTCTTATCTGCTCAGATAATTCTTAAGTGAACTTATTCATCTTATCAGAATACTCTTGTCACTGAATCTTGAATCAGAGCTTGCAATCTTACTTCTCTGAGTTAATAATCTCTTTGATCTGATATTCTCTTTCACTCTCTAGTACTTTATAAATAGAGTGATGAGTCACAGAATTCTCTTCTGAGAATTCCTTATATTTGTGAAGCAAAGAGATATGAAAAACATTGTATATCTGTAACTCAGATAATAGTTTCAATCTGTAGAACTGTGAGTTAACTTTCTCTATAATCTTATAAGACTCTGTCTGCAAGAGATTCAGCTTCTTATTAGATCTTTATATAATAATGTTTTCTAGACTCAGTCAGACTCTATTATCTTTCTTAAAACTTTTTATAATATACTTGAAGTCATAGTATCTCTTCTGATACTCTTGAGTCTTTCTCAAGAATTTGCAGGCTTTCTCTCAGATATTCTGAATTCTCTCAGTCTGTTCATAAGTATTATCACACTCTATAGTGTACTCTCACAGGTTTATTAAGATCATTCATGAATGAGTTTCAGTGAGTATCTCAAAGAGAGTTTTATCTGTGCTGATATGTTTTAAGTTGTTATATATGAACTCTGTAAGTAATAATCAATATACTCAGTTATTCTAATTATAATTGACAAAGCACTGCAGATACTGTTCTAATATACTTATCAGATATTCTGTCTGATCATCTATCTATTAATGAAAAGTCATACTTAGATCTTATAAGATCTTCAGTATAGTTATCAGATCAGATCAGAACTCTTCTATGAAGATTAATTCTTTATCTGAGATAATATTCATAGATAATTCATGCAACTGAATTACATTGTGAATAAAGATATAAGTTAAATTCTTTGACTTTAAGTTCTTATAAGTGAGTATAAAGTGTGTCATCTTAATGAAGTGATTCACTATCATCAGCACACTGTTAAAGTAAGTATCATATATATTCTTACTTTCTGAGAGACTTATAAGAGTATTCATTTCTAGCTGTTCTCAAGGTTTCTGCAGAATGAGTAGAGAAGTAAGTTCTTTATATAGTCTGAACTGCACTATTCATGAACTCTGATAAATAGTACAAGAATTCACTATCTTCTTTACAAGTTCTCATATCTTTGATCAGAAGTATTTTCTTATGAGTAACTTATAAGTTCTAATATCTGTAAAATGACTTACTAGAGAAGAGTTATAATATCTTTTAATAAGTTCTACACATAGAAACTCATTTATAGATATATAAATTCAGCTCTCTCTTTACAAGAGATTATTTAAGTCTCTTTAATTCTTTATTTCTGCAGAATTAATCTCTGCTGTGAGCAGTTTCTGAATATACTGAGTATATTCATTCTTCAGTTGCAGTTCAGACAATCTGAATAGAAGATTTTATAAAGACTTATACTCTATTTCTTCTTATATCAGATCTTTCACAGCACTTCTCAAAACCTGCAAACTCTTCAGATTATAGATACTCTTTTCAAGAATTCTTGCAGAGATCTTCAGAGTGTTAACTCTCAGTGTTATAGAGAGTAGTTATACAGACTTCTTTTCTCTCTTTTCTCTCTTCTCTTATAGAGAATTGAGAGACTCTTCAGTTAATCTCTTTATAACACTCAGTCTGAGTATTCTGTGAAGCTTTTCTATCTTCTCTAGTCTCTCTATATCTATCACTCTGATCTTCTTAACATAGTCTGATCTGTGAGAGAGTTTATCTGCTGAGTTCTTAGTTCTCTTGATATATTCTATCTTAAATCAGAACTCACTCAGTCTCTGAGCTCAGTGAATCTATCACTGTGAGAGTTTCTTGATTGAAGTAAACTGTTATAAGCTGTTATAATCAGTTCTAACAGTAATCACTATTACAAGACTCTTGAAATAGTAATATCAGTGATAGAAGAATTTCACTATTATAAAAAGCTTCTGATTATAAATGCTATAGTTAATCTTCATAGATTGCATCTTCTGTAAGAAAAAGATCACTGAAACTCAGTTTTCATTTAACTGTAGTTATGAGACTATTTCTGAAATTATAAAGAAGAAGACATCTGTCTTTAATCTGATTAAGAGTAAGAGATTAAAGTGAAATAGTATCACTGTGTCTGTGAATATCTGTTTTAATCTTGTAAAGATCTTATAAGCTTCTGAGATAAGAAAGTTCTTACAATTCTTTCTT